AAGATGATTTTTCTCTGTGTTAGGAACGTCGCAGATTCTTGTTAAGAGCACTGCTCGAGATACACCAGTGGAACCATTTTCTCTTGAGAGGCTTGCAGCTGAGTTTTATAGTCACTGCCTCAAGAAATGGTTCAAGCGGAGATATGAAATGCCGGAAATTTAATTCCAGTCGGAAATATGCAACCCTACGCGAGTTGGAGCGTCTGTAATTTCGCTTACTACACCTTTCATCTCAGCCTTCCATCCTTTTCAAATGACACACCATCCGAAACGCTTAAGTTACTCTGAGAACAGCCCAGTCTTCTGGATTGTAACGCCACGTAAAAAAGTGTAAAGCTATCCTTGTAACAGTCCGTGCAGTTCCATAGGATTGTGAAATGATGAGGGTCGGTCGCACATTATCTAGACCAGAGGTCTCCAAACTTTTCGAACCGCAGGCCACATTAGATAATTCAGAACTTTCAACGGGCCGGATAAAATGAGAAATTAATAACTCTAGGTATATGAGTTTTATTGAAAGCACAGAATTTCATAAACTAAACACAAAGTACGTGAGAATAAATTATCCTATATATTAATGACAACAGACAGTAGCAGCAAATGCTTTTTTTTATCACAAATTATATTAAAACAATTAATGAATGATGGAACTCTTTTTGCATTCTTAAAATCTGATTAGATTGAAGTTCAAATTTTGAAACGCTAATCACAAGTAGCGACTTTAAATGTTCATCGGATAAGTTTGCCCTGTATTTCGACTTGATGTGCTTCAGAAATTTATAAAATTCGATCAAATTTCCTTCCTTGTATTTGTCTCTAATATGATAATTTTCGTGAAGTTCGATAATTTCCATTTGAATTTGACTTCTGCAGCATCACAGTGAAACGGATTTTGAAACAATCTAATTTCCTGAGCACTGGAATCCAAATCAGCAAATCTCTTCAGAAATTGTTCTTTCAAATCTAAAATGACTAAATTTGCAAACGAGGGAGGAAATTCTGCTTCACCCTTTTTATGCAACTCTGCACAGTATAGCATATGAACAAAGTTACAATTTTTCACTTGCCTTTCCAGATATCAACTTTGCTCTGAATGCCTTGATAAGTGCAAATAAATGACAGACTAAGTTATTTTCACCCTGAAACTTTAAATTCAAATGGTTCATATGGTTCACCAGATCAGCAAAACTGCTAATTTCCAAAGCCACTAAGTATCTGATAAAAGTGGTTCGTGATGGTTTTTCTCGGTAATAAATATATCAATTTCATTCCTGAGCTGAAAGAAGCGCGAAAGAACCTTTCCACAGCTAAGCCATCGAACTGCAGTATAATATGTCAGGTCAATAAGCTCGGAATAACATTTACCAGTACTCACTGGAAAATTAGTTCAATTGGCGCATTTCTGCACAATTCTTTCGCGGGCCGCATGTTGCCCGCGGGCCGTAGTTTGGAGACCCTTGATCTAGACAATCAGTTCACAGATTGCAGTGAGGTCGTCAGCCTTACGCCTCGGCTGCCATTTATCCCCAAGGAAGATCCCTGGTACTCATTTCTGTTACAGGCTGAGTGGATCCCAGGGCCATAGTGCGGCTGGAAGGATTGGGTAAATTGAAAAAAAAAATGCCATTCTTCTAGAATCGAACTCACCACCTTATGGCTTGTGGCACAGTGCCTCAGTCAACTACGTCCCCACGTATTTCGGATAATTCTGAGAACAAACAATTATGTTTGTTTTGTAGACGCACTGTGTTTTCTCTGAGATTGGAACCGATTTTTGAAATAAAATTTAAGTTACCGTATTTACGCATGTATAGGCCGCACATTTTTTGCCAAAAATTCAAGAGGAAAACTGGGGTGCGGCTTATATTCGAAATATTCGAAATGACACTTCATTTTAAAAATATTATATTCATAATTAGTAATACAGAGTGTTCTACTCCTGAATTAATATTCCAAGAAAATTATTTTTTCTATAATTTCTGTCTGAAAATTGTGCTGCGGCCTATACATGCGTAAATACGGTATCGATTGTTAAAGAGGTAACAGTTCACCAAATTCTCCCTCATCATCATCACCTGGGGCAGGCTACAATAGGCCAATTAGTGGCCGCCGTGCCGAGTGGACCCAGTTTGACTCCACCCCCCACTAAGCGAATTAAAAAAAATGCATCAGTTTCAGGTGACTCTGTGGAGGTAGTCTTTCATGTTTTCTATGTGTCTGTAACCGTGGCAGGTGGTTGTTTGTTGTTACGTGATACATAGCACATCGTTAGGCTCTGCCAGTTTCCGAGAAATTAACAGTGAATCTCAGTCTAATTGGCTTCCGCTAGAACTTATATGTTTACTCTATCAGAAAGTGAATTTCTAAAAACGCAGGACAGAAGAAAGTGACATTTCGCTGGTTCCGTGTAAAAGCAGAACATTTTTGCGTTTTAGTTACCGTCTGCGTATCTGTAAGCATGAAACAGAAATTTTGGAATTCTGAGTTGGATCCTTTTTGTCGTATGCATGTGCTACACCTTCTCTTGATGAGTTTCTTTATCTTTTTTCACCGTGTTTTTACTCGTATTTTCTGCAACATTCTCTTCTAGTGTTTTACCTTTCCTTCTACTACTACCACCACTACCACTGCTGCTGCTGCTGTTGCTGCTGTTTCTTATTGTTTATTCACTAATTGGGGCACGTGGTAGCGCAGTTGATTGAGGAGGAACTATGTTACAATCCTTAAGGTCGCGGGTTGGTATCCCGATGAGGTCATTGGATTTTTTCAATTGATCTAATACTTCCAGCGGCACTATGGCCCTGGGGTCGACTCAGAATCTAACAAGAATAAGTACCAGGAATCTTCCTGGGTGGTAAATAGTTGCCGGCGTCTGAAAACCTCACCGACATCTGTGAGCCGATTGTCTAGGAAATGTGGGAGCCTCTAAGTCTCACAATCTTATGGGATCTCAGGGATGATTTCACTTTTTTTTTAATGCAATAGCTGATGTTGATATGCAAGAAGTGAGCCGTGGAAATACCGGAAGCTTACAAACAGTAAGTTCTTCCGGTTAACTGCACTCAGCAGCTGACATTGCAGAAACGCTGGCCTCTTATTTGTTTTATTTCCGCGATATGCTTCAGTTTAGTCCGTTTACAACTTCGAAATGTGAAGAAAGAGTGGGATTCGGATAGTCACACCAAGGCTACAGCTTTGAACGTGTTTCGGGCATGGAAATGATTCAGGGCCTGAGCAGTGCTAACAAGCCTGGATATTAAAAAAAATGAAGTAAAAAAACGAGTAAAGCTATTCCTGTAACAGGCCGCGAAGGCCCATAGGGTTGTTACACGTTGAGGGTCCCACATTATCTGGCCAATCGGCTCAAAGATGGCGGTAAAGTTGTCATCCTTACGCGCCGGCCGTGGTTTACTCCCCAGGAAAATTATTTAAGTAATTCCTGGTACTCATTTATGTTAGAGGATGAGTCGAACTCGGGGCCATAGTGCGGCCGGAAGGATTAGATCAATTGAAAAAAAAATCAATGACCTCATCGGGACTTGAACCCGCGACCTTCCGGCTTCTAGGAAAGTGCCTATATCTCTATATCTCAATTAACATAAAATATTAATGGACATCATAACATAAAGATAACAAAACTATAAATATGATAATAAATATTCTTATGTCATGAAGGTGTTTAGAACAATAGAGAACACATAATGGCCATAGAGAAATTGAATGACAGAAATATAATCGACTGAAATGAGAGGCGAGAAAAATTGGCTACAGCACATTTACGGAAGTGAAACAAGTAGAATATCAAAACAAGCACTGGCATAGGAATAAAAAAGATTGGGATATCAAGATCCTGAAAACAATAAGAGATACCAGTTACGCCTGGATGGGTTAGGGACAGGTAATTAACATTCATTTTGTACAGTCCACTTAGAAGCCGAAATGATTTTGATGAATACTCCTAAAACTTACATTTTTAATTGTGTGTATGCCAGAACGTTAATTGGAGATTTATCGCTGATTCTTTTCCACTAGAACCTCCATACTTTATGTTTTGTAAATATAATTTTACATTCTTCTGCTTAAGAACTTATCCCGTAGATGCCGTCAGGAAGTCCTACGGGCTACAGTTTGCATACCACAGAACTATACCAGGTTTTGTTTCCTTTATTAATATTTCAGGGAAAAGAAAGCAAATCCCAGCAGAGCAAACTGTTTTTGGTATACTACACTATTTGGTTATTGTATTTATGTAGACTAGCCCTTTAGTCTACGTAATGTTACAGTGGCCTCAAACTTCATGCGTCCTGGGTTCAATTACCGCCATACTCCTTGTTCACAATGCTTTCTTGCTTCTGTCTCACTATTTCATATTTCTTCACTGACACTAGTAAGACTTATCATTGTAAAGAACCATTGTAGTAGGTACAGCGGTGACGAAATCTGTCAATCGACTAAGTTCAATTTTAATCTTCGCCGTACGAGTTTCAATTGTTTACGTTCCCTCTGCGACAGTCAATTGCTCATGTGTTGCGATTATCAATTGCCGATGCACTGCGATAGTAAATTGTCCAAAAAGTGATAATTTTCTTAAAGTTAACCAATGAAACGGGAAATAAAACAACAGGAAGAAAAGTTCTGTCATTTCCCTGGATGGGAAATAACGAGGTTTCCTGCATTATAAACAGCAGCCTCTAGAATCGTGTTTGCGTGTTATCATGTCTTCCAATCTTGGTGCATCTGCCATAACAAATGTTTACATTTCAGCGGAATGATGCAAAAAAAATACTTTCCCAATTGTTGTTTCAGACTTACCTACTACCCATATGACGAAAAGAAACTTTCTATGTAGTCGTAATACGTTCGTATTATGTTTATGACCCATGGAGAAATATTAAGGGGGGTGGGGGGAAGGAAGATACAAGCACAAACCCGTGAAAGTAGTACCTTAACTATGCTGGTATATAAAGCTTCTCCCATCCTTTCAACAATCAGTCCGCATAGTGGGTTCCAGCACCTTTTCACATTTTACCATGAAGATCACAGTAAGTAAGAGGAAATAAGGCCCTAGAAGCCGGAGCACTCCATACAACGTCTCAGTGTTGGTATAAATGTTGGTTCTTCTAGTGTGAACTTGGAGTCAGTTAGAGAAACCCGTCTCACTTCTTTCAGCAATTACAAGTAACAATCAATGACTTTTCAAAAGCACATAAGTTGTCCTGAAGATGTAGTGATAGAAGAATGATTATTAAAGATGAAAAAAGCATTGAAAATATTAAAATGCACTCGAGCTAATTAAGATATTTTGAAACAGGTTTTGTACAGTTCGAAACTTGCATGTTTGTCACCGTTTTTCCAGGAAGTTAAGGCAAAGAAGGGACATCGTCTTTCATCAATATTTCGTCCATCTTCAGAGTTTCGAAATTGAATGTTTACGTCCAATGGTAGGAATCAGATATTGTCCCATTTCTCTTAGCAGTAAATCCGAGGGCTGTTCGAAAAGTATCCACAGAACTATGACATGTTCCTTTTCGAAGTACCCACATTGGAATATAAACCAGTAATTCCATCGCGTGAAAATTAATTCTCGTTGAAACAATAGTTTTCTAGCGTCTCTAGTTTTGCCTTCATGGCCTTAATGAAGATGTTGGTGGAATGAAGTTGTCTAGGATTGCAAAGAATGAGAAAAAATTGGCATTATTCATTTGAATTTCAGGTTACAATTATATGGTCCGGCATATTTTTAGCAACATCGCAGTGACAACAAAATTTCTGGGGAGAATTATGGTGTAGAGCATAAATATAAGCATCAAGGAACTGACAGAATTACGCAGAGGAGAGTTCCATAAATTCTAACCAACTATCTCCATTTACTTCTTGGGCGTACAGACCTGTTTGGGTATTGCCCGCCTCTATCAACTTTTCCTGATAATCCTCTACAACGGCTTGTAGACGCCATTTATTGACTTTTTCTTTTTCCTCATTTCGATATTCTTTTATATCTCGAACGTTGTTTCGTTTGCTAAGCTGATTCTTCCGTCTGGCCCTTTGTGATAAAGGCGTCCCAAAAATTCTTTCTCCCCACACCGAATCCAGGCTACCTTAGGGACATAGAATTTTCTGTCAGGGTTTATTCCACTAGCCGGGGGTCCCAGCTGTATTGGGCACTGCCCAAGTTGCACGAAGCAGATGTCGGAGTAGGATTTGTGGGCAGTGCCGGCAGAAGTGTCAGTTGATAGTCTTAAGGATTTATGTTATCTGACTGTGTGGACTGAGTCCCTTGGTACTGTTTGGCCTATTGTACCAGCCCCAGGTGGTAGATGATGAAGGTTGTGAAGCAGTCGGTGGGAAGTGAATTGGTAGGGGAAACCGAAGTACTCGGAGAAAACCTGCCTCAGTGCCACTTCGTCCACCACAAATCCCACATAACCTGACCCGGGCTCGAAACCGGGCCGCCTCTTGGGAAGCCCGCGACTAACAGCCTGTGTGACCTACATATCGGTATTAGCACAGTACAGTACAGTGCAGTACACTACAGTATAGACCTTGGCTCCCATATGAGAGGGCGATTAATCCAACATGGATGAGACGGGAGGTATGTGTGACGCATATGAGGAAAACTTGAAATGCACATAAATGTTTTGTTGTAAAATGTCATGTGAAGGTGCCATTTGAGAGGTCTAATTATGTGTTTGGGGATAATATTAAAATAGAACTTAGGCGTAAGATTTGCGAGTATTCGAACGATATAGAGCAGAAGAGGATCTAATGAACAATTTTTGGATGAAGATTAAGCATTCAGATTTCGATAATAACACGTCTTATGAATATACCTAATTAACAGTGTTTTAATAAGAGAGATTTCCTTCTCGGACAGACTCCTTGAAATTCAGTATTTTCTACTTATTTTGCCATAACAAATCCAAAATTTTGTTCACATATCAAGTAAATGTACAATGGTGCTACTTCAACTGTATTTCAGCACACATTTAGAGTAAATTTTGCGATAATTATAGGCAGTTAATTTGAAAACTTGTGGAAGAGAGTGATTACAAATATTTTTTGGTACTACTGACTCATAAATTGGGGAGTCTGAGGGAAACCATAGAATCCTTACTTAGGTCCGAGAAATCCCCGAGTGCTAAGAAGGCGTGCCAACTGCCCAGCCACGATATTAGATGACTGACTGATTTTAGGGTCGATGTAACTTCTACAGCAAAGGTAAAGGTAAATTTCTCCATGAGCTCAACTAACTAAGCACTACGCCATGAAGGCGTGTGGGGGAATACATGTATAGATCCATATTTTCTTAACCTCGGCACTAATTGGAGGTGAGTGGTCAGATTCACGCCTCGACCGCTTTACTCCCGGGAAACAGCCCCCTTACCCATTGTGTAGGAAGTTAGGTGGACCCCAGAGCCGGTCTGGACTATATGGAGACTCTACTCTCGGTCGTTCAGCCCGTAGCCAGTCGCTATACTGACTGCGCTATAAACCAGACATAGAGGCTTGGTCAGATAAAAATCATATGCGTTGAGAACTGAGTATAACGGGCGTGGGAACGAGAGTACATAAATAAACGAAAGCGTTACACACTTCTCTCCCCCTTGACACAATTTCCTTCCTTAATATCAAGCATATAATTTCGAAAACCTGCATGCGGTTATTATCCATATATGTAGGTTTGTATAGAGATTAGATTCTCTGTGTACAGTACTCACAGTAATGTTCTATTTTGCCGCGCCATAGCTCAAGCGGTTATTCGCTGGCTTCCCACCGCGGCGGCCAGGGTTCGATCCCGTGGTCTCGTCATGTCGGATTTGTTGGGGACAAAGTGGCGCTGGGGCAGGTTTTCTCAAAGTACTTCCGTTTCCCCTGCCAATCTTTATTCCAACAATTGCTCTACATTCACCCTCACCTATCATCTGGGGCTGGTACAATAGGCCAGAAGTGGCCGAAGTACAAGGTACTTAGTCCCACCCCACTAGCAATAAAAAAATGAAACGTTCTATTTTCAATAGTGATAACAATGTTTCATTTATATAGAGGTATATGTGATATTGTTGAGAGATTTTGCTGTTGAAACATTCTGGTTGTGCGACGATTTCTTAAAACCTTTAACGTATAATCAACTCATGCTTCGTTGCATCTACAAATTGCACAAATATACTTTATATATTCACAACGTATGACAGGATACGCACTGATTATTCATGCATTTCTGTTGCATAAATGAGAACAAGACACTTGTCATGTAGAGACAGGGTTTAACCTCAAATATTCAGCGACTAGAAGAGGCCCTTTCTTGCTTTTTTGTTCCTGTGATCTTGACATTCATTTATTGCAGATATGACTATTGTTGCGAAATCGTTCACACTACAGATATAGTTTTTGTTTGTTTTAGTATACCATATAAAAATATTAAAAATAAATGTTGGTGCTAGATAGTAATAAGAACGCCATGTTACATCACGTACTGATTTTCTATACCATAAGCAACTGTTGAGGTGACTGATAACTTCATCTTAGCTTCATGTAAAATATTCCATTTGAACAGATAAAGAAGTAACAGGTCGTGGAACGTCCATAGGGTGGTGAGACGCCGAGGTTCCCATATTTCCTAGATAGAGGGCTCAAAGATGTCGGTAAAGTCAGCCTTACGCGCCGGCCGCGCTTTACTCCCTAGGAGAATTATTTAATTAATTTCTGGTACTTATTTATGTTAGAGGCTGATTCTACCCAAGGGCCATAGTGCGGCTGGAAGGGTTAGGTCAGTTGAAAAAAAAAACAATTACCTCATCGGCACTTGTACCCGCGACCTTCCGGCTTTTAGCATAGTGCATCAACCAACTACGCTACCGCGTGCCCCAACGCATAAGGACCGAAATTAAATTCGCCCGAGTAGGCTATGTCCGCAGAACCAAATTCAATAGAAATTCACTGTTAAATGCCTTCATAAATTAAATATGTGTATTGGCAGACAGCCCTTTTATTATGCATTCAGTTCATATGAAAAAAAGCCGGACAGATTCTAATATTCCATTTCGGAGTTACAGAGTCTAAATAATTTTTCCGCGAAACATGAATTAGTGACGTTTATGTATTGGAAATACAAATTTATGCTAGGCATTCGCACGAAGTGCGCAATAACGGCTTCCCAAGAAGAGTCGTTTAACTACTAGTCGCGTAAATTATAATTTTCCTTATATATTACACTGGCTTTACTGCCTTGCACTTTTACTGAAAAGTCCATAATTCATTTAACATTAGTACCATTCTCTTGACCCATTTACCAATTTTGAATCTTGCATCAGACAAATGATTTCATTATACAATAAACTAAGATCATATGAAATCGCGTTTGGCGCGAAATAACAGTATTCTAAAACCTCGATCGTTGATGAAGAGATCCATATGAGTTGATGTATGCCTATAACAGATGTTGCAGTTCATTCTGGTACGAATTTTATTCATTTCTCGAAGTCAAATGACAACCACGTGGGAATATTTTCTAAATGAAACTTTAAGATATGAAAGGTAAAGTGTCTGTGTTTAATTTCATGTAAGTTAATCTTTCATGATCGATCACATTGGCCGCGCGGTCTAAAACATGAACCATCTTCGCCCGCTCGAACGCTGGTATTGTCGGTTCGAATCCCACTCAAAGACATGGATGTCTGTGAGCGTTTATTCTGTGTCTGTGTACATAGCGGTCTTGCGACGAGCGGATACCCCGTCCTAGGAGTCCTACCGACTGTATAAGATTAGAAACAGATGTTCTATGTTCCAAGTGGGAGCAACAGAACATAAGTAGATAGATTTTTTCTCTAATAATAATTTATTTGGCAATAACAATAACAGTATCAAATAACAATTAACAATGGCTTATATTAAATATAACATGACATATACGTATACGGAGGCTTATGTTTGTTTTTGCATGTTGATGTTTAGAGGTTGTTCACTATGATCTGTCCGTTTGTGATTCTGCCCAGGATGTCGTTGTGTAACCAGTAGTTCTTGAAGGTTTCAAGACAGAATATTTCACGATGAACCATGTTTTGAGGAAACTGGTATGTCGTCCGATCCACTATTCATGTAAATTTTTATATTTTGCCCCTAAATTGTCCTCTGCACTCATAGGTTGAATGCGAGTGTGGTAGTAATGTTCGTAAATGAAACGGCATCCGTTAACATGGCAAGAAATGCAGAACTTACAGTGTGACCAAGCAGAATAATTAATAAATTCATTATACTGCTGCTGGGGCACGCGGTAGCGTAGTTGGTTAATGTCCTGGGTTCCATTCAGCCTCTTAACGGAAATGAGTACCAAGAATCTTCCTAGGAGTAAAGGGCGGCCGGCGCGTAAGGCTGACAACCTTACCGCCATCTGTGAACCGATTGTCTAGAGAAAATGTGGGAGCTTCGTCGTCTCACAACCCAATGAGCCTCCACGGCCTGTTACAGGGATTGCTTTACTTTCTTATTATACAGCTGCTGAAATAATAACGAACTCTCTGATATGGTTGTGTTGGGAGTATGTCTTCCGTGTTACTGACAAATTTCACCATGATTTCCCTTCATACGAGTGCAACTGGAGGCGAAATTACTGTTGTAATGCTTCGTCACGATGAAGTAACATGTTAATTGAAGGAATCACAAGAGGAAGCACCTGTTATGTGGCACTGCAACTTTCTTCCTGAAGCTGTAAACATTACGCTTCAGTGCCCACACATACACCAGTCATGGTGACCATGTCAGGAAGTTCGCCAGAAAGGATAACGGCACAAGCTTATTTTCATTAGCTACTTAATACGTGTACAATTATTATGTTAATGAAATTATCCATCGTCCTGTTCTTATTTAAAACACAACGTTTCGGACGTTTCCGTCTTCGGGTAGAACCTACTCAATTGTCAAAGTCAGAGTCAAAGTTATGTTACAACCAACGGTCAGTCGACCAGTCTATCTTGAAATAAAGCACCCGTCTGGGGTTTAAAACCTGATCTTTATTACTCTCAGACAGTTGCAGGCTTGTTGATATGGGGCGGTCTCTCTGACGAGAGGACGTGTCTGTCGTTTACTAGAGTCACAGTCAGCAGTAATAAGTCTACTGCCAGTATGTACAGGTTAATTTTACGTGTGTTTAAATGTATGTATATGTACAACATATACAGGACCTCTTTCAGTTCAGCCTCAGTACAACACATCATGCCCTATCATCAATAGCTCCTACTACAGCAGCGGTCTAGTCACTTGAACGGTCGTATGTTCGACCGCCGCAAAGTTTAATCCTGTTATATACTCAGTGGTGCTTTAGATAAAAGCAGGACTTTATTTTCAATAATAACAGATGGATGGATAAGGTCCAGAAACACAATACTTGTGTAAATATACCATTGTTACAAGCTTTTAGATCTTATTGGTTACTTAGGCCTTACGTTGGTCGCGCCATAGCTCAAGCGGTTAGTCGCTGGCTTCCCACCGCGGCGGCCCGGGTTCGATCCCGAGTTTAGTCAAGTCGGATTTGTGGTGGACAAAGTGGCGCTGGGGTTGGTTTTCTCCGAGTACTTCGGTTTCCTCTGACAATCTTCATTTCAACAATTGCTCCACAATCACCCTCACCTATCATCTGGGGCTGGTTAGAATAGGCCAGAAGTGGCCGCGGTACAACTTAGTCCCACCCCACTAGCAATAAAAAAAATAGTCTTACTTTCGATATGACATAACTTAGGCGGTCAGTCGCGAAGTTCTCCCTGCAAACGACCTTGCTCAGTTTCAGGGCAGTAAATGTGTGAACTGTGGCACGCGAATTGGCACTGGAGCAGGTTTTTCTCCGGAGACATTGGTTTTCTCCCGTAAATGATCACTCCGCGAGTGCTCCATGTTAATCTATCATCATGAACTGGTACATCTGTGCACCTCAGCCCATAGTGTGTTTTATGTCCAGTGCATAAAGTTGGTCCATAATGGGGAGGTCACGTAGTGGCATAATATTCATATAAAATTTAATACAAATCCATCCGCTTGTTTACAGATTATTATATGGGACACACTCACAGACATACTGACTTAATGAAAACATATCAATTTCTTTCTTTATGAAATAAGTAACATTGTCTACATTTGCAGTAATATAAATGTAGTTACAGACATAATAGAATATTTTCTTCTCTTGTAGACTGTGATCTTCCTCCTGGCTTTGGCCATTCTGGCAACGGCCGAAGACACAAAACAGGAAAGCAAAAAACCGGAAGAAAAAGAGGAGGCAATAAACGAGAAGGAAGAGAAAAAGGACGATCAGCAAAAAACAGAAGAATCTAAACAAACAGAACAAAAACAGGAAATCGAACAAGGTGACAGGAAGCAGGAGAAGCGAGGTCTTATCCATGACTTTGGGTACGGTGTAGGTTTTGGCCACGGGCTGGACAGTGGCTTTTTCGGTGGTCATGGCCACACCGTACACCACGAGCCCATCAAGACGGTGACCTTGACCGAAAAAGTGCCAGTACCTCATCCTTACCCAGTGCACATACCAGTAGAGAAACACGTTCCATATCCAGTAGAGAAACCAGTTCCATACCCTGTTAAGGTCCCTGTTGATCGTCCCTATCCAGTCCCTGTAACCGTTCATAAGCCTGTCCCCTACACAGTACACAAACCTGTGCCCTACACAGTCAAGGTCCCAGTCGACAAGCCGTACCCTGTTCACGTTACCGTTGAGAAGAAAGTTCCATACCCAGTCGAAGTGAAAGTCCCTGTGCCCCAGCCTTACACCGTCCACGTACCAAAACCTTACACTGTAGTCGTCGAGAAGAAGGTTCCAGCCCCGTACCCAGTTGAAGTCAAAGTCCCTGTTCCTCAACCCTACCCTGTCCACATCAAAGTTCCAGTACCCGTACAGGTAGATCGCCCTGTTCCTGTAGAAGTTAAAGTTCCATTCGATAGGCCAATTCCAGTACATGTAGAGAAGCCTTACCCAGTTCCTGTAGAAAAGAAAGTACCATATCCGGTTGAGAAACCGGTACCTTATCCCGTGAAGGTCCCATATGACAGGCCTATTCCTGTGCCCGTAGAGAAACCATACCCCGTCCCTGTAGAGAAAAAAGTACCAGTCCCTGTAGAGAAGATTGTACCTTATCCTGTAGAGAGGCCAGTTCCTTACCCTGTAAAAGTCCCATATGACAGGCCTGTACCAGTGCACGTAGTTAAACCATATCCAGTACCTGTAGAGAAGGAAGTGCCGTATCCTGTAGAGAAGCCGGTTCCATATCCAGTGAAAGTCCCTGTAGAGAAACCGGTGCCATACCCTGTAGAGAAGCCTGTACCTTACCCAGTTAAGGTACCCGTAGCAATACCGGTGCATCACGACCACGGAGGACTGGAGTATGGCGGACTTGAGTATGGAGGATTTGGACATCACGAGTAAAAGCTATCAGAAAATAAGCACCGAGTTATTACACTGCAGTTTTACCATCTATGTGCTGAATATGTCGTCAAAGAACTGTCTTGTTTATATATTTCCATCATAATTTATAACTTCAATTGTTTGAGCATTGCAAATGCATAGTCGGAAAAACTGTGAGACTTTTTTATGGGGAGGGTTATAATAATCTGTCAGTCATTAAAGACGTCACGGCAGAAGAGTTCATCCTCAAAGTAATTTATCGCAAACGTTGAAAGAAAATGATTAAAAATATAAAATTATGGACACACCCAATAAATCATTATGGAAAATTGCTCAAACAAATAACCAAAGACCAACATCAAAGATTTTGTTCTATTTTCCTCCTCATTCCATTTAAAACGTTCGTGAACTTTGCAATTTTCTTGCATACGCGTGTACACATAAACGAATTTACCTCACAATTGAAAAGAAGAGTCTAAAGGGCTATACGACCACTGAACAGGGTGACAGAATAAAATGAAACTGTCTTTAAGATCGCAATTAAATTGTTGTTTGCAGGGTGCATGACCCATAATAACATCAGTTGTTTCCTGTATTACCCAAATTGCCTTCTCCGGTTACGCTTGATACTGTTAAGTTTATGTATATTAAATTAAAATTACAGGACTGAATAAACGATTGTATTACAATGAGAATACATTACTTTCGTAACAATGAAAACAACGATCCATTGTCTCCAAACCTTTCCTGAAGTAAAGTCCATGTGGGAACGAAAATAACCAATGAAGCCGAACAAGCTTCACTTTCAGAAGTTTGTCGCTGGAGTTGTTCATAACATATTGAACTGCAAAAAGATTGAAAGACGGTCAACGTATTTAACGACAGATCAAATTCATAAGGTAAAAGAATTTGATTTGGTCTGAAACAATGCAATTAAGATAGTGGTATTTCCTCCACGCCTGACAAAATGATTATACAGTCATGACTCGATTCTGCGAACCTCTTGAGGTTGGCATTAAGGTAAAACGAAGTCGTATTATATAATATTTTAAGCTTTCAGGGCGAATTTGCGGTCTACAATCTTAGCAGTCGATGTCACTTCGTCCCCATTGATAGAGATGGAGGACTTCTCTGAAACGTTGGTTTTTAACTCAATATCAACATGACCGCCCGAGAAAATTTTAGAATTTTATATTAAGGTAAAGTTATCCTTGTACAAGTCCGTGTAGGCACATAGGGTTGTGAGACGTCGAGGCTCCCACATTTTCTAGACAATCGGCTCACGGACGGCGGTGATGTTGTCGAACTTACGCGCCGGCCATCCTTTACCCCTAGGGAGATTCCTGGTATTCATTTCTGTTAGAGGCTGAGTCGACCCCAGGGCCATAGTGTGGCTGGAAGGATTAGGTCAATCGAAAAATCCAGTGATCACATCGGGAATGGAAACCGCGTCCTTCCACCTTGCAGCGTAGTGTCTCAACCAACTACGCTACCGCATACCCCAAAATTCTCTTCGTATCTCTAATCTCTTCTCCCATAGCGTGAAGGAAAATGTTAATATAAGCTTACAAAATACATTTTAGCGAAATGTTTAATGTCATGCAGAACCCCAGTAGGTGTAGAGTTAAAAATGTAACCTTCTACGATGACGCTACTAGGACGTTTGCATCTTTCACTAGGCATAACTAATTCGTGCAATATCTGTGAATATGCTTTTAATTAAAGACTGTTCCAGACAGAAAGAAAATTAAAAATGTGACTTTGAATTTCTTGGTTAGAAGTAGATAAAGGTGTAAGAACAAATGCAATAAAATGAAGCAATAACATAGCATTATATAAGAGACATGAGTAAGGCAAACCTGTTGATATATCGTAACGACTCTTAAAACAATTTTAGTTTATTGAAGGAAATGCTTAACCCTTAGAACCAAAGATAAACAGAGCAACGTAACAGACCAGATGAAATTGTTACGCAGATTGAAAGAAGTAAACTAACGAGACACACAACGGAGTGAGGAAATAAGAATTTATCTGAGGTTAATAAAAAGACAGACCTCATTAAGGAATATCAGAATTGGAGAAATATGTTCAACGGATAAAAGACTGTATAGATTATTAAAAAAAAAAAGTTTTCAACTATAAACTTCCAGGAAAGAGAAATTTATGGCCACAAACAAAATGCTTTGAACAGTTTCTGTAGTCTTAGAACGTGTCTAGATATCGTAAATCTTCAGGTAAGAAGATAACGTCTGAGAAGCACTCACTGACACAACATTCATTCCTCGTTTAATTAAGGTCTGTTCATGAGTTCAAACGCTATAAAGTAGAACATGCAGAACTAACGATCTTCTGAGTTTTCATTTGGTTGTGTAACAACAAAAGTAGGTTAAAGACGCTAGTTCAGGAAGTCATTTTCAGTTTCTTATGCAGCGAAGCTTCAGGCCTGCGTTAACTGTCTAACTGCATGTGGCTAGTCATTTGTCACTTATTTTCAAGCTTACTTTCTTTCCTATTACTTTCCAAATTGGATCTTATGCACACGGATTGTGATTGCCATACATCTCACGATCGGCGAACAGAGATGTTGTCTTAGGTTTCCATTATTAGAGAGTGGCTTAGCTCGTCAGATGCTTATCAGTACATCACCATCGGGCATATTGCCGATTGTCTTCTGTGTCTGAAGAAGAACCAATTAAAATATCGTATTAATAACTGTCATTACATAGGCATGGCACGCGGAACTATGCTACTAGCCGGAAGGTAGCGCGTTCGTTTCTCGATGTCATTGGATGTTTTCCAATTTACTTCCAGCCGCATTGTGGCCCTAGGACCAACTCAGCTTCTAATAAGAGTACCAGGAATCTTCCTGATTATTTTATTATTGATAGTGGGGTGGGACTAAGTCCCTTGTACTGCGGCCACTTCTGGCCTATTGTACCAGACCCGGATGATAGGCGAGGGTGATTGTGGAGCAATTGGTGGACTAAAGATTGGGAGAGGAAACCGAAGTATTCGGAGAAAACCTGCCCCAGCGCCACTTTGTCGACAACAACCCGGGCCGCCGGGGTGGAAAGCCAGAGACTAACCGCTTGAGCTATGGCGCGGCCAAAACTTCCTGACAGTATAAAGTGGCCGGCGCGTAAGGCTGACATCAGCACCATCTGTGAGCCGATTGTCTAGAAAATTTGGGAGCCTGTTACAGAGATAACTTTACCTGTACCATTACATTGGCCGGTTCGATTCCCAAGAGGAAAGATTTCTCTTTTTCTTTTTTCATAGCGTCCAGGCCCACCATACGCCATATATGAGTAGTCTTGGCGCGTCCCGATGAGCCAAAACAGTCGAACTGTTAACCTAACCTTTACGTATGGCTGAGTTTCAGAATGTGTACGTTCATACTTTCATTCCGTTATATGCCTTCACAGAGCGATAATTAAGGAAAGGGGACTTCATCTCGGTGGAAGAAACGGGAACATAAGTTATGTAATATAATCCAGATTTCAAGACTGATAAATGATGTGAATACTTCTTGTATATGAAAGGTGAAAGGTAGAGCAACAAGGCAGCGTGCTGTTGCGAACACTCTTCTGCCGCAATCCGCCAGCAAGATGCAGAGTTGTGGTAATATTTCAAGGCGAACGGGGCTTCTGATACCGACGTATTACCAGGTGTGTGCTACCACTTATTCTAAAAGTGAAAGCGAACATGCAAAACAACATGCATTACTGGGAACGAGTGAAGACATGTTAAACACTGATCAGGCCGCGTCATAACTCAAGCGGTTAGTTGCTGGCTTCCCACCGCCGCGGCCCGGGTTCGATCCCGGGGACTGGTCATGTGGGATTTTTGGTGCACAAAGTGGCGCTGGAGCAGGTTTTCTCCGAATACATCGGTTACCCCTGCCAATCTTCATTCCACCAATTGCTCCACAATCACCCTCACCTATCATCTGGGGCTGGTAAAATAGGCCAGAAGTGGCCGCAGTACAAGGAACTTAGTCCCACCCCACTAGGAAAAAAATAATAATCATTGATTCGAAGTAATATCCTAATATCTGTTAACGGGAAAATGGAATTACATAGTTATAGATGAGATCATAATAAGGCTAGATGTTAGAGGTAATATTCCACAAGGTTAAAATAGTGTTGTGCATATGCCAATGACATACTCATTATTGCAGGAACCAAACAAACATGATTAACACCTTCAAAAAGATTAAAAAAGCCTTGCAAAAGTATGGGCTGTTAGTCGATGAACAAAAAACTAAATTCCTACACTGTTCTAACAAACCTCATATAATTCAAATCTCAGATATCCTGACCTAAACATAGATGTCTCTCATTATAAATATTTAGGGTCTATAGTTAATTCAGATAACACAATTGAACAAGAGATTAAAGAGAGGTTAGCAACTGGAAATAAAGCATATGCTGCACATTGACAACAGTTTAAAAATAAACTTATTTCTAAAACAGCTAAATTAAGATTATACCAGATGGTAATTTGACCAGCAGTAACGTACGCCTGTGAAACCTGGACAGAGAAAGAAGCAATTAAAGATAGAATTTTAGTTTTGAAGGGAAAATTCTAAGAAAGATCTTCGGGCCATCAGGAAACTATGATGGCTCCTGGAGAACTAAAACAAATGATCTAGATACTCTAATAAATGGAACATAGTTAACTTCATCAAAGCCCAAAGAATAAGTTGGCTCGGCCACATCTCAAGGCTGAAGGCTGAACGAACAGGTAAGAGAATATGTGACTGGCAGCCACACGCTATATGAAAGAAAGGCCAATCTAAGATTAGATGTAAAGATGACGTAAGGGAAGACCTAAAGGAGTTAGGAATTTATACCTGGATAACTCGCACACAGGGCAGAAGTAGTTGGAAGGAAAGTGTTGAGCAGGCCAGAGCGTTCAAGAAATGGAGCTGTCGAGCCTCATGAAGGAGGAGGAGGAGGAAGTCTGAAATTGGCTTTAATATATTTCTCACTCTGCTGTAACTTTCTATGATGTGAATTCAAAATGTGGGGGAAATTTGCATGATATTTCTCCCCTGCAATGGTGCAGACAATCATGGGTTCACTGCAGCTAAGAACAACACTCAAATTAAGAAATTAATGTTTACCCATGTAATTAAAAAGAGGACCGGGAGTAAGGATCCAAATGATATTCAAAAACCCTAATTCAATTTAACAGTTCTGGCTGCTGTACGTATTGAAAGAGTTTGGAGAAAATTTTGTACTGCCATTTTGCGTGTGTGTGTGTGTGTGTGTGTGTGTGTGTGGGGGGGGACTTGAAATAGAATGGATACAGTTGCATATATATGATGTGTTTTAAGCAATAAACTGCTGGGTAACAGATATATTTATTTATTTATATTTTTATGTTGTTCATTACACTGTTCTTCTCTCCCAAAGAGAAAGAAGCTAAGAAATTATGTAATAAAGAATAAGTGAATAAATAATACAAGTTGAATAAAATGCATAAAAATATTTCTATATAAAAGTATGTACACAGGAATATTTAAACATAATTCAATAAAATCATTGCTAACATCACTGANTTATTATTATTATTATTATTATTATTATTATTATTCATTTAATTAATTATTAATTAATAATTATCCTGGCATTTGCCAGGAGAGTTAAAGGAAAACCAAAAGAAAATCAGTCAGGATAACTGGTATCTCAGTCAAGATTCAAACTGAGCATCTACTGAATAGAAGTCTGGAACATTACTGCCAGACCAGCGAAAGGATTATTAACATACAGAGGGAGAAAGGACATCACCTATATTGCCTAATTCAAACCAGCCATTTTCACCTTATTTATCATATTCTCCAATATTACTGTGTTTTAAAAGATATAGTAACCCTACACCTTAAATAAATTCAACTGCCAAGATACATCACAAACCCTGTAGATTTTACTAACACATAAAAGCTGAAATCTTATCACTGAATAAATCTTTAAGATATCCAATTTCCTGTACATCACCTGTTTTTTCACTTTATTTTGTTGGTACACAGAGGTATTCATCACTGACTCAAAGGTTCCATAATAAGTCATAATCTTTAACTAGACACAAGAAATATTAAATCTGATACACTAAACGAACCATCATTGAACTACTGCCGTAACAGACAACACCACCCTCTGGCACCAAGATTCAGCTGTATAAACGTTTCAAGCACCCCAGAGACACAAGAACACTAAGTCTACATAGGAACAAAAAAGGTTGGCTCAATTATGTCTACGATTTCCAGAGATTGCCAGAATTCTCAACATGTATCGGTGGCTGGTTTGAATTTCAAAGTCTGTTTCAAGAAAAGAGCAAATTGTCATCGGTTATCATTACAAATGAAAACGAGCATCAGGGGCATTCATCATTGGTGAAACATATTTTAGGGTTCCAAAGGAGTAGACCATGCAGAAATTAAAACCACTCATACTAGTGCTTTGAGGGTTGTTCAAATGAAACTCATTCACAGAGCAAATACCACATGGCTGTGGCATGGCACTTATTTTCTTGAACTCAGTAAAGAAACATTTAAGAAAAAATAAATGTTCAACTGAGCAAGTTAGGAAAAGGAGCAATATTTCTGGCATCCTCTGTTCCTTCTATTCCATTACCAAATACAATCCCCGAGTTGGTTTCACTTGAAGATCCCTCACAGACATGATCGTAACACATAACACTACAAATCTGAGTCACCACCTTTGCATCAAAATATTTCAAACAGTCAGTATGTTGTTATTCTCCAAGCTCTTAAAATAATGCTTTCATATAAGCTACATATTTTCCAAAAAGCTATTGCTGCACAGAACTTAAGATCCTATGTTCAATCCTATGTTCAATGGTGCCAGTGCTACTCCAACAGTGGTGTTGGAACTGAATTTCATGAAAATCATTTAGTGCCTATGCTAATGATATGCACAGCTGAATTAAGGGATGGTAGACAGACGTGGCTGCATACCCACGTGCTGAAACACAGATTGCTAGAATAATCACAATAAGTAATAAAAATAATACAGCGGAATATGCTGATGTCCAGTACTGACTGAAGTGGAACAAGCCTTCTGGCTTTCCCCAGATAAAGTACTGAACAAAATAATTTGTGCCTATGCCATCACCTTCAAATGTTCACAAATCAGCCAAAAGACCTTTCCATCAACCTTCTCTTGTTCTTCATCTTGTGCTCTCTTCTGCTGTCCTCAGAAATTCCACTTACAGAACGTTTCCAACTCCTAGATTTAGCATACAGTATGAGGTTCCATCATCGCCATCATTAGATGGTGATACAGACTGTTAAGATAGCACTAGAAAGCTACTGGAGATCTCACCACATACACAGGATTTCTCATCTCGGAGTGTTTCAGAGTAAGTATAACCTCATTAACCACATTACTAAGTGCTAAGTTCCTCACAGGGTGTAGTATTACTCTCCTTTTTTTTACCTGCACATGCACAGAAAAGTGTCTTAAAATTGTTACTTCTGCATGCTAATTCACATTTTGTTTCTGGTACTCCATGTCCATGCTTCGCTACTGCATTAAACTGACTGTTTAACAAGTAGTTTGCATCATTTAAAATACATACTCCTGAATACCACTTGCATGACATATTGTACCTACAAAAGTTGTCCCTGTGCTAAACTAATTAAGCACTACACCATGAAGGGGTATGGGGGAGTGGGTGTACAGATCCACGCTGTACGCATTGGATAGGAGGTTAGGTGAACCCCAGAGTTGTTCTGGAAGACATGGAGAAGAGAAAATTCTTGACACTACCAGGACTCGGAACTCCAACCTCTTGGTCATCCAGCCCATAGCTAGTCGCTATACCGATTGACCTATCCCGGCTCACCATATTGAACCTACTGTGGTCATTTAATTATATTAGTCATATAAGTGACCTCTTGAAATCCATTCATATCAGTGCCAGATTGTGCTGCCACAAATTAGATCATGGTATCCTTAAATATGCCTGATTTGGCAAAGTGAAAGCTCAAACAGCTGCTCAAGAACTCTGAACCTTCTGATATCATGCCATATGGTATGGCATTTCATATAAAACCGAGGTTAAAATTTTTAAACAACTTCTTAATATCAGCCAGGTACAGGAGCATTAATACGTAGGTAAGTCAATATGTAAGTTACAAATGGATATAGAACTTACACAAATAAGAGTACTGATTTGAAAAATGATTTTCATTTCTCAGCATAATCTCCCTGTACACTGAAGCACTTGTCCCATTGCTTCACAAGCTGATAAAAACCAGCAGCATAAAATTCTTTCGGCTGCTGTCGGAACCAGGTGGTGACTTCCCTTTCTACAGCTTGATCATCAGGAAAATGTTCAGCCGTAAATGCCAACTCCTACTGTAACATCCCCTGGAAAGTTCGTAAGGCCATTCAACGGAAGTGCCCAGGACTCCTCACCAAAGGCGTGTTGCTCTTGCATGACAACGCACGTCCTCATACTGGCAGCAAGACAAATGAGACTGCAAAATTGTCGAGCACTGTCCATATAGCACCGACCTTGCTCCAAGCAACTTACATTTGTTCAGCCCTCTCGAACATTATCTTTCGGCTGAACATTTTCCCGACGAAGAAGCTGTAGAAAGGAAGTCACCACCTGGTTCCGACAGTAGCCCAAAGAATTTTATGCTGCTGGTTTTCAGGGGCTTCTGAAATGATGGGACAAGTGCCTTAATGTACAGGGAGATTATGTTGAGAAATAAAAGCATTTTTCAAATCAGTACTCTTATTTGTTTAAGTTCTATATCCATTTGTAACTTACTTGTTGACTTACCCTTGTATACTCCAGGATTCAGTGATGTGCTGCAAATCTTCCAATCTCACATGAATAAATCTAAAACTTTAAGCAACGCACTATGTTACATTATTTTACAAAGCTTGACACTTTGAGACATTATTAGTGGCACACCAACAGAATTTTTGTCGACATAAAAGACTTCATCTTAGGAAACGTCTTTATGGATTTCTGATTAATGACACTGTGGTCTAGGGTCTTCGCTGAAAGGTTTATACTCATAGCTACTCAGATAGCCACAAAGTTCCTTACTTTTTGGGATCTGAAGGTGCATACCACTAGGCTTAACGGTGATCCATTTAAATCCAGCCCTTAATATCACACCCTATTTCCATTTTCATATCTTCTTACCATCTATCCCTTGGACTATAAGGAGACTCCTTTTAATTTTGGGCTGCTAATTCTAGCAGTAACTACATAGTACCATCTTGATCAATATGTGAACCTTGAGAAAACATCTATAAAAAAAAAAGTAAAGCCGTGAAGGCCCGTAGGGCTGTGAGACGTCGAGTGTCCGACATTATCTAGACGATCGGCTCAAAGATGGCGGTGAGGTTGTCAGCCTTATGCACCAGCTGCGCTTTACTCCCCAGGAAAATTATTTAATTAATTCCTGGTACTCATTTCTGTTAAGAGGCTGAGTTGACCCCAGGGCCATAGTGCGGCTCGAAGGAATAGGTGAATTGAGAAAAATTCAGTGACCTCATCAGGACTTGAACCCATGACATTCTGGCTTGTACCATAGTGCCTCAACCAACTATGCTACCCCAGAGCAAAGATCTATAACAAATAGAAAAAGGTATACTATAAAGTTCATATATCTATCAGATTAATTCTTTATACTGAACCTGAACTGTGTGCATCTTCCCCGTAAGTGGCAGAACTGTAAAGCTACACCAGATGGCATCAAGATTACCTAGCAATCAGAGTAACTGTTTTACCTACATGTATATAGAGGTCTTTGGAGAATGGAACTGAAACGTTCAATCCCTGGTGGGTCATTTAAATCCACTGCAGTTCGTTGCACAAGTGTAGGGGAGGGAGCCAATGCCTCAAATGGGTCTACTGTTCCAGTGAACAAAAAAGCAAACTCCGTGGTTTTAGTTTGCAAGCAAACTATACTGAGTGAATGCCACTTGTCGGCAAAGTTAGTGCCAACATTAACGGATAGAGCGTGTAGTATGGTCAGTGCCATAAATCCCCACAGCTGTTAATTTGAGTTTTCTAGACTGGAGCAAGCAGATGTGGCCTAATTCAGAAATTATCTCAGGATTTACCTGGGGAGACTGAGGAAACCCATAAAAGACTTCTCAGATACAAATCTAGAACATTTCCTCTAGACCAAACTGTTCAGTGAGAACAGCTTCGAGAGTTAGTTCATATTTTAGCCAGAGTGTTAACATAGATAAACATGTACATGTATCATATTTTCATGAACATGATGCAAGCATTATGATGTTCACAAAATATACCTTGACATGATGCCTGAAGGATGGAACAGTGTAGCCATAGGAGGTGTCCATTGCTAGGCAAGGGCCTAGTAAAAACGTCCTGCAGCAAAAAATATGCAAGCAACAATACAGGAATTGTTGGAAACGGTGTTTTGTGTTGGGTTCACCCTGTGGTTATATAACACGGACCCCAGGCCAGCTGAGGTGATGACTGAATGAGAAATGTAGAGAGCGATTTTGAGGGTTGTCAGTTCAGTTGTGAAGAAAGGAGTCAAGCTGTGAAGAGAAGATGTTATGTGTGCTATAGTACAGTGTTATTTTCATTGTGTAATTCAGTGAGGCTGTTATAGATGCTGTGTTGAAATCAGCTGCCAGGAAACAGATAGCGGAGACTGTAACAGACTGAAGACAGTAGTGTGTGGAACGGTGAATAGCAATAGGGTTACAGTTGTTTGTAGTACAACCTGTAAGCGGCCAATAAATCAAATCACTAATCCAAACCCCATTAACAGTCACCCTAATACATGAAAATATATAATACCTTCTATATTAAGATATTTTCTACACATTTTTACAAACTTTCTGATTATGGATGTGACAATACCCAATGTCCCAAATTCCACTTCATTCTGAATGGACCTTAATACACAAGAAAGTGTTCCCCTATTCATAATATACATATTTAATATGAAGTATTACGTCTGTGCTTATGCAACATACCAATAAGGTGCCTGGTATGGAGGTAAAAAATAAATTCAGATTATTTTTCACAATGCAGACAGGAAAAGAAGATAAAATCTGCTCTGTAATATAGTGCTAACGAACTTATCTGAAGTCACTACTGGTGTGGCAAATAAGTTATAAAGCGTACGCAGAGTATATGAAGTATGACAAAAGGCTAATCAACTCTGTCAAGTGTGACTAATAAAATGTTTTTATTTTCTTTCTCTCCTTTTCAATCTTTCATCCTTGACATGTTTCGGTCTTACAGACCATCTTCAGAAGGACATATCAGTGACACTGAATGGAATTGTTTAACCTTTTGTCATACTGCTAATGTGACACACTGGGATGAACCAAATCAAATATATCAAATATGGTTCATTTGCTCTCTTCTGTTTCATTATTTTGAAAACTGTAAAACTTCATGGAAGTGTACTGGGCATGACGCATGCATTTCATTTTCCTCTACAATGGTTCAAAATGTCAGTCACTGTAATAAATGTTTAAGTCTTTAGAGATGCTCACAGAAATGCATGCTGGTCTTTCTGTAAAGCATCTGCTATTGCTGTCACATTTTAACAAAGACTGGAATGTGTTGACAGGTTATAATAAAACTACTTAACATAAAATTCCATGAAGACCAATTCAATGGGTAATGAGTTTTTATGTGTGACAGTGAGACATGGTGAAACTGACAGAGGTGCAATTTTGCAAAATTTTCTTGCATCTGTACCAAAAAAAGTCTCAAATATAACATCTCCAAAGTTCAGGGAGTTGAAAATATAAGTGTGCTATGTTAAGGAGCTGGAAGGCAAATATCCTGAAGGTCCAGATTTAGAACTTTGTGAGGCTGGGTTCATGTCACACCCAAAAACCTGAATGCTACAATTCTACCCTTTTCTTGAATGATACAATTTCTATGACTAATGACTCCCCCCCCCAAAAAAATAAATGAATGGTTAACCAATCACTGGGTATAAAGCTGATTTTAAAGTTAACCCTGTGCCTAACTATTACGCCATGACGGCACACAGCGGGCGTGGAGGCAAAACGCTATACATCATGAACCTCAGCCCTGCTTCAGGTAGAGTGGTGAGATATACACTTTTGCAGCCTACCTCCAGGGAAGCCTAGAGTACCACAGTAAGCCAGAGCTCGTTGAGGCTTGGCAATAAAAAATAAATCACTGTGCCTGCCTGGAATCAAACCCTGACCATCCAGCTTGTATCAAAGCACTGTACTGACTGAGCTAATCCAGTATCCAAATCTGATGAAAACTACACTGGTTACATAATGAGCAAATTATGGAAAATCTAAATTCTTAAATGTATAAAACAGTTTTCATTAATCTGGATCCTATACATATCTATCCAGATATGCAAACATAAATATCTTTTTATATTAAAATACTTAAAAGGACACTACACAATCAAAATTCCGGTCTTCTAAGTTGTTACAATCTGCCGACATTCTGGAGGAACATGTTGCCTCCATCTTCAGGGCTGAAGTAACTTCAACCTTGAAGATGGAGGAAGCATGTTCCCCTGAAATGAAGGTATCCAATTACAAGATCACATGACCTCTCAAACTAAGAAGACTGCAATGAACAGTCATTGTTATGAAAACCTCAAATGTTACAACAACTACATAATTATATACTTATAATATATATATATATATATTTATATATAATTTATATAAAAACAGTATAAAAACTATTAAATACTCCAATCTTTAACTATGGCACATAACCATTAATTGACTTTAGTATAAAAGGACTAACTCCATGGACCACAGCCTTGTGTGATTAGTTATAGTTTTCAAGATGATGAGTCCATTAACATGTCCCCACAGCCCCAGTACCATCCCAAATCAGGAGCCAGTTTAATCCAAACCACGCCCTCATTCCTTATTTCTCCAAAATGAGTTTTATTATTGCCCTACAAACTATGCCCATATTTTCCAATGGTTTCTTCCCTTGGAATTAGGACTACAATTTTGTATGTATATCTTGTTTCTTCCACACACTAGTCACATCCCTTCCAGCTCATCATCTTCGAATTAAATAGTTCTAATAACATTAGATGAAGAGTACCAATTAGGGATTCACTACCATTCTGATCCCATCTAATACATACTCCCACCCAATACAACTTAACAATAAACAACCAAGCCTGAAATACCTTTGAAGAGAAATGTTAAATTTTCATTAAAACTGTTCATACACAGGCTCAAGAATACTTATGAAATGTATTACATTATGGCAGTATCCTGTTAGTATGTACGTCTTTCATTTGAAGAGCCAAGTTGAAATATGACAGCTGCTTAACAGATGACGCAATTTGTCAGTTAAGATTGCAATATTAGTAACCAAATTCTACTGCATAATATTACTACATACTAATTTAACAAGAGAATTAACTTTACACATTCAGAACATACATGAATAAGAATTCTAATAAGAGATTCCTAAGATGAAGTCAATATTGCACACAAAAATTCAAAGCATTTGCACAAACTTACTTATGTTAGCCCTTTCCCCTCAATTATGCATCTCAACTCTGAACTCCACCTTCTGAACAGATCACCTTACCAAACAATTACTGTTCAATAAACTGATATGTATGTACAGATGCCACACTTTCAGTCCCTAATGAAATAAAAATTACATATTAAAATTACCTTCAAGGTATTTACATAAAACTTAACATGATTCGAGTTTGGTGGGAAGAAAAACATGAAATAAGGAAAGCTTACTTATACTCTGCAAGGAACTTTAGATGGAACTCCTTAAATTTGTTCAGCATAATCTTCAACTTATCTGGCTGTGGCAGAATCGTAGTCCTGAAACATGACCAGGTAAATTAATCTCTGTGCATAAGCACCATACTAGAAAGATGTATAGAGATGCAGAGATAACTCCCTTCATGATCTCATCATTAGAATTGTACTCCTGAAATAATAACAATGTAAGACACGCCAAAGGACCAGAGTATAAGGCAGTCCATACATGTACAAGTCTGGCTTGCGAGTGCAGCTTGGCGAGGAGCCAGGCTCGGATTAATTTCACCACACACGAGCGTGGCGACGTGCGCACGGACGAGTTTGGCTGATTGGAACCTGAGCCGAGTTGTGTGACGTCGGCTCATGTCCGTGGTCTGTGTGCGCACTTCTCCCATCTACTGTCTTCCCCTTTTTCTCCTTCCTTGCTGAGCCGGCTTAGCGGCCTACGGTGGGCAGCTACGGGCTCTTGACTTCCCAACCGTCGAAGGGGTAGGTTGTTTCCATTTCAGACCACCGGTCGAGGCCATCCTCGACTGTCCAAATTTATTTCTCTACATGGCATTCAAATTCAGAAAAGCGAACTCTGCAATCATTTTGTAACAGGTATTTGTATCATGTTTTGTATTCTTTCTTTATTTATATATTATATTTATTCTTTGTTGTTAGTTGATTTGGTTATTTGTTTTTGGGTATTTCCGCCTTGCTTACCTCTTTGTCCTCCTCTGCTCGTCTTATCCTGTGATCACAAGAACCTATACAGACCCTGAAGGATCCTACGCTTCAGTTGGACTCATGAGCCAGATTTGTAGGTGTATGGGCCCCCTAAAGCTCAATGGTTGATTCTTCAGTTATTTAAGACAGTTTTTCAATAGCAGGGAAAAACAATATAGTCTCTCACATTTGAACCAATGACTGGAACTGAGGAAATTAATGCAGTAGTTCTCTTAGACTTGTATTCAAGAAGTACTTAGTTCGAATCATGGTCAGGTTGCTAACAATCTCCAGTTTTCCTGCAGTTGCCCGAAGTTCAAGCTGAAATTCCACGTAAAAATAACCCAAAATTGCCTTGCTTCAAATTGTTACATATTTACCATTCATGATCATTTTCCATGTTATCTGACAACTCTGCAGTCAAAAGAGCATTGTTACATAATGTGATCACGATTAATTTTCTGAAGTATTAGGCAAGAGCATAAAAGCTAACTACAGGCAGGCATCTAGATGATGCCACAAAATAAGACAAATCATATGGACACAATAAAACAGAGACAACACATACAAATAGAGTGAGAAATGAAAACATAAAAATAGTATTCCAATGTAGAACATGAAACATTAAGCACTAAAAGAAGTTAATTAAATAATTACTCATTATGGATGAAAATTTTAGTGCGAACCATAGCTGTGAGTAGGGGTTAAGCAACCAAAGCATGAAGAAGACTACTAATTTCCATCTAGAAACAACGTTAAAATCTAAACATCACTTTTTTTTCAAACTTCAATCCTGCAACCTAGAAATATGGGTCAAACTAAAGAATCAAGTAAAAAAATTTATATGGGAAAATATGAAACTCTTGGATTCTGTTGTTTATAATGTGAACTACTAGAACACCTGTCAAAGAATGTAAGAGCAAAGACATATAACACTCAGCGCAACATCATAATGTAGTGTAAAGGCTTCTGAGAGTGGACTTGCATTGGGAAATTGTTACAAGCCTTCTGATACAGGATAGGGAAGACTTAATACAAAAGCATGGAGTTTACTCCACTCAGTCACGTCTTGACTGCTTAAGGGGCAAACTTTGCTTCTTATTTTAAGACAACAATAGTAGTACTGACCTGAAGTGGAAAGTGCCTGCTTGCTGCCCAAAGCCAGATCCTGGTACTATACAGATGCCTGTATTTTCAAGCAGCTGGAATGCATAGAAAACATCTGCACACTGTCCTAAAGATTCTGCCTTCTCGATGGCTTTCTTTGGAAGATCAAGCTGAAAGAAGCAAAACAAGCCCTGCAAATAAACTGTTTAGAGCAACAATGGCATAAGTCACAATACTAGGAAGGTTTTCTTTTGCTGTTTGGTTTAGGAGTGATGACGGACAGTAGCTGTTGACTCAAGTCAAAGGTCAAGCATAAGTTTTACTAGCTAGATATTTCTACACAAGAGAAATGAACTACTGTTGACCAATTGCTTCACACAGGACATCTAACTCATTAGATATTGTCTCTCACATTGTATAAAATGTACACATAGTATCATTTATTGTTCATACTTACTATTCAATATATGGAGGAATTAAAAAAAGCAAGTGGATTAGATCACAAACATGTAATTTCAAAGATATTTCCATTTATCTGTATTGATTTTTTGCTCATCACAGATGATGACAGCATAAGTTCCATCAGCCCTATATAAAATCTTTAGTGAACTGGAAAGCAGATGTGATATCTGATATCAGTTTTTCAATTAAATAATAACAATCATTTCCAAAATGTACACTTCTCCTAATTTCATCATGAACTAGAGCACAGAATATTTGTGTGCAGAACATTACTGTATTCACAGTGATTCCATCAAGGTTATGCATTAACTGAACAGCGTTATTTTATGCTTCCCAGGCAAAGCTTTATAATTAATCCTTTTATTCCTAAAATAAAATGTGTGTACCTTTGGGAAAGCATACATAGCACCTTGAACTTTGTTACAAGACACTCCCTCAATACTGTTAAATGTTTCAGCAACCATCTTGGCTCGCTCCGCTAGCGAATGGAGTACAGCCTTCTTCTCCTTCACATACTGATCATAGGAGGGCTCTCCCGGCATTGGTGGATTCACAACTAGATCCATCACGCTCTGCAAGAAAGCGAAACAGATTGCTTGTATCTCTGTTTACACAATGAGGTTTCATCAAATGCACGTCTACTGTAGCTTTGGATGGGTGGATAGCTACAGAAATAGTCACAACCTATGTTATGGTGTTACTTCAACTTCTCCTTGAGGATTGCTGCCTCATTGTGGAGAGGAGGTTTGTGCCCCAATGACCCATAGAGCTATGCTAGAGGAAGTGTAATCGCCTAGAAAGGGCAACCATGACAGACGGCTCAAAGGGGACCTGATGAAGAAGTGCAGTTCATGGTCCTCCAGGCTGGGGGTGGGTCATGGGGCTAACAACCGCATCCCACAAAAATTTATTTTTAGGAAAACATGGAGGAGGCCAAAACTCACAGAGGGTTGCAGCATCAGTAAATAATAAGAAGAGGAAGTGGAAGGTGGTGGTGGTGATGGTGGTTGTTGCTGTTGTTTCAGCTTCCACTTGAAGGAAGTGAAGAAAATCACAATTCATAATTCAAAATAATCTTATTACATCATACTCAGAGGTGCTGAAAAGGGAAGGGCTTTGTATTGTGCATCACACCTCACCTTGAATCTTGACTTGCGTTTCAACATAAGAACAGTGTGAACAAAGGGCGATATTCACTGAAAAACAGAATGTACAAACTGAGGCACGGTAAATACAGTGCCTGACTGTAGATAGTACAATCTCACATTGCTATCATGCAGTGCCTTCTAGTGTTGATCCATAGAACTACATGCCCTAATCTGCCATACAGTGAAAATTCTATGTTTACATACTGCAGAGTTTTTAATTTCACCATGTCACGTATACTAGTGTTGATTCTGTTGGAAGGCAAGTAGCATGGTACATATTGTCACATGTTGGATATGTAACACGACAAATAACTTCACGCTGTCTTGGATCTAGCGAATTTATTCCACTTACTCTTAGACTGACACAATCTAAAATTTCCCAATTACTGTCATCTGCAGCATCACAAATACTTCTCCTGCTGGAGTTCCTGCCTTGCACTTGATGCAACCCAATGTGTAGCTGCTGGAATTCTGCTGCACTCAGCGACTTCACAATCCATCCTCTGTCACTCCTAATCACACACTGCCTTTTATACCGTTCCCTGTTGCCTCGTATTAACAGTGTTGTCCCCTGTTATGTCAGTAGGATTTGCTCTTATTTCCCCGCGGGGGGGGGGGATGTTTACTGGTCTGTTGCTGTAGCAGTGGCAGTGGTTCCTGTGTTGTTACATCACTGCTGGTGGGGGGGTGTCCTGCATAGCGCAAATACGTCACACTATACTATAGCCAGATTTAGAGTATTAATACACTAACTTTTCTTCACGGCAAAGGCAAGTTGGTACATTAATCACTGTGCTTCTACAGACATGCACATGATATGGAACAAATAATAAACAGCTACTATACTGTACACACCTGTCCAAGAACAGTGGGACACAGCATCGCAGAAATGGATTTAAACAGCATTGCTCTAACATCAGGTTCCAAATTGACAACTTCTGTATAACCACCACGCAGGCCACATTCCCCCATGTAACCTGCAACATGCAACACAAACAGTGTAAGAATGTGATTGAAACAAATCAAACATATTAGTTTACAATGAAATAACAGCAAAAGAAATGTATTAAATTGAAGAATTCCATCTTCTGGGATGTGACACCGTGCAGATCTTGTGTGAACCAACGTTTAGAATGAACACATTGCCTCCGTCTTCAGGGTAGAAAAATCTGTGAGGAATCAGCCTCAGCAGGTGGCATGCAGAAAGTTCAACAGTACCATTCTGGCTTGAAGGTCGGTAGTCTCTTGAGTTAATATGGCTGTGGAGGAAAAGGGGAAATACTCGTATCTGCCCCTTCCGAGAATCAAACCCTGCATCCAGCCTGGAGCCAGTCACTTTAATGACTGTGTAAGATTTGGGGTTATCAGACTGGTAAAGATTCATACTGTGGTCTGCTGTGCTGTGACACCGTGCATACGGGTACCAGTGTTTCACAAGAACATACTACCTTTATCTTCAGAGGGAAGTATCAGAATTTTGTTTATACTATTTCTATTCAGTAGTTTTTTGCACTGTGATATGAGATGTTTCTTTTTATGCTGTCTTTTGTTTCTTTCTTCATCTGATTTATGGTCTACCCTGTGGCCTGAGGCAGAATGCTGCTACATAACGTGGGTACCCACCTATCACACTACACATTGTCACAGAAGCCCACAACACAGAACTTCACTGACTCGTCTATCAATTTCAGACATTCCAAGTGAGAACATCATACAATGAAGCCTGTTCTCTCACATCCTGTGTCCTTACCTTTTGAACATGACATAAATGACGCCAACTCCATCTTGTGATATGGCTTTCCCATCTCCACCAGAACTTTCTTGAATGAATGGAACTTGCTATTAGGGTCATACACATTGTCCTGATACACCTGAGCACAGACAAAAGAAAATGTGTACAGTGGTGCATGACTCTACTGTCTCTTCAACTGCTGCAAAACATTCAAAGATAACAGCATAAAGCGTGATTAACTGAAATATGTACCTAACTCTCACACGTTTTGTAGAAACATCTGTTTTCCCATGATAAATGCTTTTGACAGTCTCTCTAGGCATGGCTGATTGGCATGCAGATTTGCACAGATATCTAAATGCATGGCAGTAAATGCACTGCCTAGGCCACACCATAGCTCAAGCAGTTAGTCCCTGGCTTCCCACTGCGGCAGCCCGGTTTCGATCCTGGGTCTGGTCAAGTGGGATTTGTGGTGCACAAATAGGTGCTTGGGTGGGTTTTCTCCGAGTACTTCGGTTTCCCCTGCCAATCTTCATTCCATCAAATTTTCCATCATCATAATCACCCAGGCAGGCTACAATAGTCCAATCAGTGGCCGATGTGCTGAGTGGACCCAGTTGGACTCCATCCCCCACTAAGCAAATTAAGAAAAGAGTGCACCATCTACTTCCTCATACAACTTTTACAAAAATAAATTGTAACTCCTAAACTACTTGATGCTTGTTAATGATTTAATGAATAAAATGTAGAGAAATGACCAGGAAACACATTTATATTACTCATATAATATCATCACTTTTACTAACACTTCTCTGGTTTGTGAAAAGATGGTCATTTTGCTAAGACCTAAAATATTTGACTAATACAGTTATTATTGCTGACTTCCATCATTTTATTTGCACCCACATCAAAATCACAGTCTGTAACTAATGCCTTCTTTTCTCAATATCAATCGTTCTGTCTTCCACCATGGCATGACTTCACTTGTAGCAGTGAGAGATTTGAAAACCCCAGTTCCCTGATGATAAAACACAGCCACCACTCTACAGTATGAGATTTAAAACATCTATTCCTTGAAATGAAAGCTACACAAACGTTATATCTAATGTTTACAAAAATTGTTTCAATTACAGACACTTGATATGCCTCAGGGCGCATGCTGGTTTTACTGGTCCTCAATGTGCTAAGACTGCAATTAATGTTCTGACATTTTCTTACCTCATCTGCAAATATAAACAATTCTTCTTTGTGTGCAAATTTGATAATTTCTTCTATGTTTGTTCTGGATAGCACCTGACCTAAAAGCAGTAAACAGCATCATATGAGTTCAAGGCACCAAACTACAAAAGTGGAAATATGAATGCATTTGCAGAAGCAGTTCCAGTTTCAACATTTTTCTGAGTATAATTCTTAGATTACTTAATAGCACTGCTTCACTTACAGAGTTTATGTAAGTTATTTATTGACTTTAGGGGGCACATAGTAGCATAGTTGGTTGAGGCACTATGCTACAAGCCAGAAGTTCACGGGTTTGATTTCTGATGGGGTCACTGGATTTTTCAATTGATGTATCCCTTCCAGCCACACCATAGCCCTGGGGTGGACTCAATCTTTAACATAAATGAGTACTAGGAATCTTTCTGGGGGTAAATAGGCAACCCGCACATAAGGCTGAAAGCACAGAGACAACCATGGTCTATTTCAAGGCACTGTCACAGCGTCAGTCCAGTGACATGGAGGAAAACAAGAAAAAGTTNGACTATGAAGAAAGCAGTCTTTTGGGATTTGGCACCGTGTATAAGTGGTGTTAACCGATGTTGATGGAGGTGATACGTTCCTCCGAAACGTCGGTTAACACCACTTATACACGGTGCCAAATCCCAAAAGACTGCTTTCTTCATAGTCACTGCCGTGAAAGCCTCAAATCTTACAACAAAAAGTTCGGTCACAATATTCAATAACCTATGTCACAAGCACCTCCTGATACAGGTCTACAGGATTACTGCTACACGAACCCGTTCAGTTACATCTAAAAGTCTCCAGTGATGGTAATAACATTGTATACTTGAAATACAGTAGCATAGATTTACAAAGAGAGACAATATGAAGCATACCTGTGGGATTCCCAGGGTTGATAACCACAATGGCTCGTGGAATACAGTGTTTCTTTGCTTCGTCTAAAGCTCGCTGTAGCTCGGCTATATCCATCCCCCATGCCCGTGATTCGTCTAAGTAGTAACCGATCTGAAATTGAACAGATACAAATAATGTCACCTTGTTGCACAAGTAGCGGCTGTAATCAGAGAAGCACAAGGACTATTACAAAAGTAACCTCTGGTGAGCTGTTAACAAAACAAGCAATGAGAAAAAAGTTATTATTTACAGAATATACATACAATGCATACATACTTAAGCTATTTCTTAATGTAGTCACTTGAATTGAATTGAGGCACTTGTCATATCTGGAAATAAGCTTTTTGTGTGCCTGTATTCCAGAAGTCTGCCACCTGTGAGCTCAGCCATGTTTTGACACCTTCCATCAACTCTTCATTACCGTTGAACTGCTGTGATCCTAACCAGTTCTTCAGGTAAGTACGCAGGTGGCAGTCGCTTGAAGCAAGATCGGGGCTGTAAGGATGGTGGTCAAACACCTCCCAGTTGAAACATTTCGGTTTCCACTGTCAATCTTCATTCCACCAATTGCTACAGAATCACCCTCACCTATCACCTAGGGCTGGTACAATAGGTCTGAAGTGGCCGCAGTATAAAGGACTTAGTCCCACCCCACTAGCAATTAAAAAAAGTAAAGAAAGTCAGTCTGTCAGTCAGAAGGGGCGAGGCCTCTCTGATTTCATCATACTCTCTTATGTTATGAGGAGCAAAGGGAAGAAGACTGGTCTAGCTTCATACAAATGCACAGACCTGATGCATGTTGAATTCTGCCAGTGTCGCTGAGTAGAGGGGATACTGAGGGATAGGCACCATCACTCCAGTTTTCTTGCCATCAACCTCATTAACCAGCAGCTTCAAAACTGACTGAGAAACAAAAATAGGCAAAATTAAATCTCACAGAATATAGGAGTCCATTCTTCAATGTTTTTAATACCTCGTTGACCATAACACTCACTTCTTGCACACATCAATTATACTGCTGCAAAACTAATCATACTGTAGACACCATACTGCACACATTATGAAATCGTTTATTCTGGTACTTAATTTAGAATTCATAATAGAAGGATTCTGTTTTGTATTACATGTAACAGCAGTCAACTAACCTAATACTGGAAAGGATGGTGATGGTGATGGTGATGATGATGATGAAGATGATGATAAATTTTTCATACAATGATGAGTTCTGAAAAGATTCATAAAAGCGTAATTGGAGCTCCATTCAAAGTAGTGGTAGGTTGGATTTATAAAACCAGAATCAAAATGATTTTATAACATTCTTCTAGTGCAGACCTATAATACTAGATTTAATCAAAATCCTTTCAGTCATTTCAAGAGACAAAATGTACAGATGGAAAGACATGACTTGGCCATCATGGTATTTCACTCCCTTCATACACAAGGAACGTTTGAAGCCTGTTAAAAAGAAATCTAATTACGTGTAATTATATTGGAACTCGCCTTACACTGACGGCCAACTACTAACAGAACTGGTGAGTTCAGTACCTCTAGTAAAAAGCCCACCACGTGACGTGATCCTAAGTCACTTCAGCTCAGTTCATGTCCATACATCCTATCCTCCTAAGATCAATTTTAACATCACCTCCTCCTTGGTGTTCTCAGAAGTTCCCCAACAATGAATAAATAAAGTAGTCCATATTCTTATATGGGGAAAGGTGGTAAAGTTACATGTACAACTAACCTCAACAACAGACAGAGGTCAGCTTCATGCTCTGGCCAATTTACTCTCAGGCCAAAGGAGCCCAATAGCTACTGGACAGGAGCTGAGTGGGCCCCAGAATTACCCTGGACACGAGACGAGAAAATCACCTGTTACCACTAAGAATCAAACCCTAGTTCCTAAGTCATCTAACCCATAACCTAGTCACTATATCAACTGGGTCATCCTGGCTCCACGCCCCAGAATGTTCTGTGTACATGTTTCCTTTGTCAGAGGTATATATGCAGGCCATTATGATACCAGATTAGGTGTATAAATCGCTACAGAGTTCCTGAACCATGCTACCTTGATGGCATCAGATGCTCCAGCTGACAATATTATATTCTCCCAGTTACTGGGAATCCCATCTCTTCTCTCTATGTACTGTGCGACATGCCTCCTTATGATCTCAATGCCAGGGGAGTCTGTGTACGATCCTGCAACAAGCACATGGAGAGAAATGTAGAACACATGAGTATACAAAGCATTCCTATTTTCATTCAGAAAAAAAAAAATTATACGTTACATATACTGTGGTACTACAACATTTAACGTGTAGAAGAAAAAAGTTTCTGTTGCACATCTAACCATCACATACCTTCAAACTGTCTTCTATTTGCATCTAAGTGCTTCTGACTGTGGCAAACACTAAAGAATGTAATTATATGCCTGGGTTTCTATAGGAATCGTCAACAACAATGGCTCAACAGCCCAAATTGGGCTCTGGCCTCTCGAAGAATTTTTCGCCAGCCTTCTTCTGATCTGTAATGACCACATTTTAGATATCACTTCCCACATTGTCAATTCATCCATATTTTGGTCTTCTTACACCCCCTCACCCACCATGCTTTGAAATAAAAAACTTTAGCATTTATTTTCCCCCATTTTAATCATATGGCCTAACCATGTTAATTTCCAAAGTTGCATTACACTTGAAACATCTTGTTTCTACAAAGGTTTCTTATTAAACCTCATTTTCATAGTTGTCCAGGCCTCATTGTATCTCATATTGTCCTCAGAATCTTCCTTTCTAATGCCTTTTCAAAATGTAATATCAATACTGAGGCACTAATGTATATCTTTGAGCCATGCTGCACTCAGCTGGCTCATGCGTGTTGCATCCTGGCATCTTGCCATTCCTTAATCCCTTCCCCACCAGCAGTATCCTGACGTCTTTACTGTTATTTCTACCTATGTAGATCATGTGACCTTCCTTCCCTCTCCTGATGTCTCGGAAGGAAGTATATGTGTCGGGGCAGTCTGAAGGACTACGTAGTCGTGAGAGGTTGCTTACGGCCAACTGGAGGACAGGAACTGAAATTCTGAAGTTATGTTTGGACAGTCTCTGTCTGCCTGGTAAGGGTAAGGCTGCCAGCGGCCGCAACGGAATATTTTTGATTCCAGTATAGTTGCAACCGTGTTAATTTTTTTTGTAGTATTATTATTATTTTTGCTGAATTATGGTGTAGCCTATTTGATGGCTTTAATGAGGTTGGTGCAAATGGGGAAGTTTAATTTTCTATTTGTTACGACTGTCCATAACATGTGACTGTGGGCAGTCGCTACTTTGGGTTGTTGTGCCTAGCTCTTTTGGGGTTTTATGCCTTGCTTATTTATTTCTGTATATTGTATGTGAGTTTCCTTTTTTGTTATGTTGGCTATTAAAAATTGTTACTGTTTGTTTTGAAAGCCTGCATATATGTTATCTCCTCCGTAAATTCTTTGATACCCCATGAACACCCTGGGGAGCTTGGAAATGCAACAACAGAGTCAGAGACAAGGACAGCTCCTCCCAACTTCTATCTTATGAAGTGCTAATAGATGACAGTACGAGTAAGAGAGAGAGAGAAGGGGAGGGGCGGTTAATCGTAAATGAATCCAGTAAGGACATGATGCTCACCACACTTTTCTCTCAGAACAGCAGCCCTCAGCTGCATGAATGAGAACAACATGCTTCTCACTTCCTTTAGCAACACATGTTCACCTGACTATGAATGACAAAGTGGGAAGGATGCAGAAGAAAATGGTAGTACACTAACACTTTCCTGAAGGACTAGGGAAAATCAGACAGTAACACCTGCCTCAGCAGCTAGCATCCAGGCAAAGAACAAGAGACAGCACGTCACAAATACAACTGTACTGTGATGTTTTATGGTCTTGCATGCTATACAGAAGGTGAAAAGAAATTAAAATTGAAATTCTATTTTGTAGTATGCTTGTGATGGGTTACACAAATATTTCTGGTTCTTGTTTTAAATTCATATTTGTAAACATATGAGATAACTATTATTTATGTTGGCATTCATGCTGAAATATACTATTAAGAGAAGCTTTCTGCAAACCTCTTGGAATGGTTGTTTTCTAGATGCCATGGTTTTGAAATCAATGACCTCAAATTACAACTCCTTATGGGCAAACATTCTGGCAGTCTGAAAGACAGCCTATAATGAAGACACTTTTAGTTTAGGCCCATAATTTTGGTGCAGGAACTTACCAACACTTCCGCCTCTGCAGCCAGCCAGGATATCTTTTGCTCGAGCCTTGGCATCAGTGGGGAACCGGGGATCATCAAGCAGGACTGGATACGAAACTAAGGCGAGAACCTGGGACAAACACAATAGAGCATGCAAGAATAGGGCACAAGACAAATTAAGCAAGATGACAGGTTCTCATAGTGGTAACCGAAGAGCACTGCCTTCTAGGATGTGACACAGCATACTCTGGTCAATCATTACCAGTGCTCTGATGGAACCTTTAGCCTCCATATTCATTATTCTGGCCTGCAGATTGGGGCTGCAGGTTTGCCCAAAATGATGGTAATGATCTAGCAGACTCCAGAGGCTCATACCCTGGAAGACAGTAATCTTCAATGCAACTTAAGATTAATGTGCGAGATGGCAAAAACTATGCTTTGTGCAAGGAGAAGTTGCATTCCTAGGTTCTAACTGGAAGCACAATGTGTTCAAATGGCAGAACATGCATAAATACATAACAACATTCTGATTATATATTTTGTATGCTGCTTCCTTATTGAGACAATCCTGGAGAAAAAAAAATTTTTAAGTTCAGGAAAACTTAATTAATATTAGATTTCTATCATATAGCACAAAAGACAGAGGGCACTAAGATGACAATTCATACTAAAGGAACCAACTCATCAATAACGAGGTGTTATAACATGGTGAAGAAGAATGGTTCAACCAGGATTGATACATAGTATGGGATATTGATATATAGTATGTATATGGGAATACATAGTATGAAGGAGAGTATAGAATACAGATACAGTTTATTGCTGGAAGTCTGGGAGTTTCACATTTTTACAGTTACTGCTGAGTTCATCAATGCAACTAATATGAACCTGTTTGGAGACTTTATGGAACATGATGGAGACAGAATCAGCTTTGGTCTCTTTCACCTTTGTGATCCTTTTCGCAAACAATTTATCAATCCATTAACTGTTCTATGGAAATGTGTGTGTGTGTGTGTGTCTATCTATATATATATATATATATAAAGGGTGTCCCAGGAGGAATGTGCCATACTTCGGGATGGTGTTCCTTATGCTACAGTATGCCGATATAACCCAAAACACCTGTGTCCAAAGTTGAATGGGTACAGAGGTAATGGCCCAAGAAAAGTGTGGTCTTCTGGCGGGTGCAAACACTTTACCTGTCAGCTGACGAGTCTTATCGATGTTTGTCCGTGAGTGTGGTGATGATTGCTCACGTTAGCCCCATACACTTGCATACCAGAACGCGCAGTCAGCAATGTTATGTCAGTGCTCGCCATTCATGTGTTATGTCTAGTGCCTGGAAACCTAACAACTACTCTGACATGGCATGCAACTTCTTTTGTAGTTCAATTTAATGGCTTCATGTCACTCACAAGTTAGTTTGATGTTACATACATTATTAACATTACAGAAACCACATATTCCTGCCAGTTTTAATATGTATTTGGTAATCAACAAGTGTGTAAGACATGTGAAAGTTTCACACTTCTTTGGCCATTATCTCCGTAACCATTCAACTTTGAACATAGGCGTTCTGGGTTATATCTGCATACTTTAACATAAGGAACACCCTCCCAAAATCTGGCACATTCCTCCTGGGACACCCTTTATATGCTGTAATTTTTATAGTTTTGACACTTGAACAAAATATCAGTATCTACAAACATACATTTTGACACACTTGACTTTTATTTTATTAATCCAATAAAGATATCTAGCTCATATTATACAGCACAAACCCGATGCATATGACTAATTTCCATTTTAATTTGTAATGGTGTATTTCAGAGCTGAGATAGTGCAGCTGGTATAGCAACTGGCTATGGGTTGGAGAACCTCCATACCTCAAGCAGTTAGTCGCTGGCTTCGCACCGTGGAGGCCCGGGTTCAATTCCTGGTCTCGTCAGGTGGGATTTGTGGTGGACAAATTGGCCCTGAGCAGGTTTTCTCTGAGTATTTCGGTTTCCTCTGCCAATCTTCATTCCACAAATTGATTCACAATCACCCTCATCTATCATCTGGGGTTGGTACAATAGGACAGAAGTGGCCGCAGTACAAGGGACTTAGTCCCACTCCACTAGCAATAAAAAAAAAGGGCTGGACAACCGAAGGGTCAGAGTTCGAGTCATGGTAGAGTCAAGAATTCTCTCCTCTCCATGTTGTCCAGCCCTGATCTGGGGTCCACCTAACTGCCTATACAATTGGTATCAGAGGGTACTTCCCCGGGGCTAAAGCAGTAGGGTCGTAAAACTGACCACTCACCTCCAGCCAGTGCCGAGGTCAAGAAAATGTGGATCTATACATCCATTCCCCCATACATGGCATAGTAATTAATTAGTTAAGCAAAGGAACAACTTTACCTTTAATGGCACATTTTATATAAATTCAGACTCCACCCACATGTTCTGGCTTCTCAATATGAATAAATTAAGAATTATTCTCGAAATGGAATATAATCAACGCTTGAAATCTCATCTATAATCATATATGATAAATTAATATATAATTCAACACGTGTATGAGGGTTAGGCCTCCTCGGTCGTTGCACGGCGACCTACAGTGGTCTGTTGTGCTTCAATTCATCACATACTTAATTAGGAAAACTAATTAGTGACATTTGAGGTTCTCATGCTGGTGACTGTAAGGATGGGTTTCTTTTGGAATGCAGTTTAGTACATATTTACCTGCATTTTGAAGGAGCATGCTGCATCCATACAGAGAGGCAGCACATTCAACTAGATGTCTGCAAATATTTACCAGACTACCTGGCATCTCATCTCAGAAGGCAGCAATCGTCAACATGAGTAATGAGTCAAAACAAAAAGGCAAATAGACTCAAGTAGCAGGATTTCTCCTCCTCCCCACCACCAACCTTACCTTGACAAAGTGCACTGCCTTATCAAAAGCAAGGCTCTGGTGAATGAGTTATGGTAGTACAACCGTTATATCTGTAGTGCAGGACATGCCGCTACTCAATTTAGGTCACGCTGAACTTAATGGTATAGTTCGGAACAGCACTGAAAGTTTGTGATAACCGGTACAGCTGGGTCGATTATAAACACGGTACTCAATGAAGGAAAAAGTATTTCACACGTGCACAACATATAATTCTAACCTGTCTGATAAACGTGATTGGCTTTTGTCCCATTGCATGACAGTCTCCAATGTTGGCTTTGATCACCTCAGTAAAGGGCTTCTTGACTCCCTAGAACAAATTAGATGACAAGAGTTCATAAATACACATGACCAGATAAAAAGGATAACAAAGGACAGCGCAGTATATAAATGCTAGAATCTGGACTGTAATTCTACAAGAAAGGTACAAGTAGAATTACTGGAGTTTTGGACTTTTTCCATCGTCTGGAATTCTAGTTAATAGAGGGCATGACATTTTGGAAACTGGATCTGTTTCCATCTTCAGGTGTCTTCCTTTCTCACCTGAAGACGGAAACAGATCCACTTTCTGAAACGTCATGTCCTCTATTATCTAGAGTGTCCTCTATTAACTAAATTTCCAGACGATGGAAAAAGTCCCAAACCCCAGTAATTCTGTGTGTCATCCACCATCGTCAGAACCCTTTAGAATTGAAAGGTACAAGTGTTTGAGAAAGTATTTGGAACTAAGAGGGATACAGTATATGGACATTAGTGGATATTTTACAATGAATATTTCTGTGAATTATATTCTGAGAAGGGAGCTGGGACAGCCAGTCAGTACAGCGATGGGCTATGGACTCGATGGCCAGATTCGATTCCTGGTAGTAGCAAGATTCTTCTCTTCTCTACCGCATCCAAACTTGCCGTGGGGCTCACCCAGCTGCCTATCCAATGGGTGCTGGGGACTATATCCCCAGGGACATCAAAGAGGTGAAGAATTGTGAAGCTACAGCTCCACTCCCCCATACATCTTAATGGCATGGTGCTTAAATACATAAGTACAGGGAGTTGATGCCTAGTTAGCTCCCCTTGCCTGCTATTTCCCTCTGGAAGACAGCAATAACAGCAGTCAAACAGAAAACAAAGATAAAAAAAATTTTAACAAATTAATATCAAGTACTGACAGAGAATGATAACTTATATCGAAAAACAAGTATTGTGTTAAGTTATATGATGTAACATTTCTTTAGGTCAACTGATAAATGTGATAAACTCTGTCATGAACACAGCATATCTCCTTCATTACAATAACACCAAAACATGTTTAATGAAGTAATATTCCATTCAGCACAACGTTTTCTTCCTCGCTTCAAGTTTAACTCAGGACGACAGCCTTGCTAGGGGAGTCTCCTGGACTCGCCTACAGTCACTTTACGTTTATACAGTATTAGGAATTCCCATGCCTGAGAAAAGTAGTGATTTCCAAAAGTTTATACTGTAACAAAACCCATAAGTAGGGTGCACTGAAGCACTTATTTTTCCATATACACTGTGTCCATCATTTGTCTAAATATACACAACCAATGTATTTAGTCCGTCAATAATTCAACAATCATTAAAATATTCACCATTCAATGGTGTTGAATCCTGAGTATTTTAATGACTATTGCATTATTGGCAGACTAAATACATACACAGTAATTAAAGATGTGTAACAGGATGCTGAAATACTGAATGCACAACGAATTTCATAACTCAAATTCAGTGGTGTTGAATCCTGAGTATTTTAATGACTATTGCATTATTGGCAGATTAAATACACAGACAGTAATTGAAGATGTGTAACAGGATGCTGAAATACTGAATGCACAACGAATTTCATAACTCAAATTTCACTAATTACTGCTTCAATTTCTCTACATTCATTGCCAGTAAGTCATCTTGTCCAAACTGTCACTCATTCATATCTGAATATGTCTTTTTTCCTTTATTTCTTTCTTTATTTTTAATAAGTTTGATACTGACACATTTAAGAGTATAACTTTCTTTCAACACCACTAAACATTTCAGACTATCAGACAGAAAAAAGAAATCTGGTCTTAAGTCCCAAATGGGTGCTTGACACGAAGATAGACTGGCTGACTGACCGTCGGTTGTAACATAATTTTGATTGTGAATTTGACATGGGCTGTCCAGTGATTGAAGTTAGCTCTTTCTAAGAGACCCAACAGGGGGGTCTCTCCCTCTCACCTGAGCATGTAAAAAATTCCAGTTTCCGAACCGTTGGTTTCGGAATACCGGACGATGGATAAAGTCCAAAAACCCACTAATTCTGCCTTAGTTTAGAAGCTTTGCTGAAGTAAACCCAAATTGTATTCATCACTTTTACCTGTCAGTGTGATCATCTCTACAAGCCAGCAGTGGCCGCACTACTCGTAAATTCCTATACTTCAAGTTCCATTACCAAGTGTGGGAACTGTCACTGATATCACGAAACCCTGCACATGACTCACATAACCCAACAAACTGACGTCACATTTCTCATACACAGAAAATGCGTCCTTCACAGTATGTTCGTCATATTTTAAGATACAGCTATATTAACATTTCTAAAAATTATCCAAACTATATATGAAGTAGTTTCGAACAAAACTATAAATCAGCATTTAAAAATGCCTGTCAATATGCTATCTTACCTCCTGCAGTTCCTTTTCGATTTCCGACGCCCTAATGACAAGAGGGCCTCGCACCGCATACTCCATTCTTTTTATACATGGATTCATGTTTTCTATTGTCACAAAACACTTTTCTGTCCTCTCCAAACAGTTACAATCACCTGCATCTTTCACACCGGTCGCCATTGCTCGCACAAAATTTGGCCAGCCTCTGAGTTGTCCGCCCCTATTTCTCGCCCGCCCGCTGCACCGCGTAATATTCCCCGTGTTGATAACATGATTAACAATTGATGTAAACAAAAGAGAAGTGGACATAATGATAATTGAACTTTACTTTGAAATGGGTGACAGTATCGCGTCGCAGTCACTGTGCTCTCCAGTTCTCTACACTATACATTACTTTAAAATTAATTTCATTTTGGCTAAGCTCTCATAGGTTCAAGTATATAAAAAAACAAATTCCGACCTTTGAAGTACGATATCAATATAAAATACACCGACCTTCGACCACAGATATGCGCACCCAGTTCTATATCTGTAGATTACAACCACCTCTGTTAAGCTATGAATACTACATCAGAAGGTCAAACACTGCCTGACTGCAGATTAGGGACCACTGCAGCTGTTCTACGTTAAGGACAAGACTGCTTGCACCAGTGCTGAAATGGGGAGCGTCGATAGCCCAGAAAGAGACAGAGTAGGGACTGCCCACAGTGCTGGCACGAACCCCAAAATTTACTCACACACAGTACTCATGAGCCCACTTCCTGTAACTTCACACGTAGTTACAATGTAAATTTGACAAGCTATCTGTATTTCATTTAAGACCTAAAAGTTTGTGACGATGGTAAATTGCTACAAGTAATATGTTTTTGGACATTATTCATTGTCTTGTCTATTTTTAAAAAACCGTCCTGTTTCTCTTTCTAAGCACAACGTTTCGGAGACTGGATTCTGCCCCCGTCCTCAGGTAAATCCTACTCAGTTGGGTCCAATAGACAGAGCTAGCCCTTATCTCCAACTGAACAGGTTTTACCTGAGGACGGGGACAGAATCCGGTCTCCGAAACGTTATGATTTAAAAAGAAACGGGACGGTTTTTTGAAAATAGACAAGACGATGGATAATGTCCAAAAACGTATTACTTGTATCTGAATTTCACTCTTATTATCTATAGTATGTGTAAATACCAAAGTTACCCCATCTTCAACAGTTCATACGCGATATTAAAGATTCAACGCAAGATCAAAAGGTAAGGTGTACCTTGTCTGAAGACCATACTCTTGCCACATCCTACGTTAATTAGGCACACGTAGGCTTACGCCTCCCTACGAAATAATTAAAACGAATTCAGAATGACATCTGTGTATACACCTTATGCAGGCCAACGGGGGTGGGAAGATTATAGATTTCTTGATTAAGTAAAGTAAGTATTTTTTTTATTGCTAGTGGGGTGGGACTAAGTCCCTTGTACTGCGGCCACTTCTGGCCTATTGTACCAGCCCCAGATGATAGGTGAGGGTGATTGTGGAGCAATTGGTGGAATGAAGATTGGCAGGGGAAACCGAAGTACTTTGAGAAAACCTGCACCAGCGCCACTTTGTCCACCACAAATCCCACTTGACCAGACCTGGGATCGAACCCGGGCCACCCCGATGGGAAGCCAGCGACTAACCGCTTGAGCTATGGCGCAGCCTAAGTAATGTAAGTAAGTAATTAACTTCGTATGGCACAGTCTTCTGTGACCAACTAATCGCTATTCAGATAGTTAAAATATTCGCCACTTTCATGGAATCCGAAGTTCATCACTTTCCTTTTTTTCACAAAAAGATCTTCCAGCTGAAATATATGATCACCTTGACTTCTCCCATGTATAGTCGCTTTCATATCCTTCTTCATGCAAGCAACTTAGTAATATTAGAGAAGATTAATTATGAAGCTCCTCAATGCGTAACTTTTTCCACTCCTCTGTTACTCTGTAAGTAACTATCTTACGTCCGAATAATGAAAGGAGCATACACTTAAAAACATAAACATGAGGCTGTTCTTTAAGAACTATATCTGACAATTATACGGAAAATTAATTTTATCATGGAAAAGAAATTTAATAATTTTCTGTGGTTTTGTTTGGTTTCTCCAGAAAAATGCTAGAGTAGAAGTAAAGCTATCCCTGTAACAGGTCGTGGAGACCCATAAAGTTGTGAGACGTTGAGGCTACCACATTTTCTAGAAAATCTGCTCACAGATAGCAGTGCGGTGTTCAGCCTTACGCGACCGACACTCTTTACCTCCACAGGGTGATTTCTGGCACTCATCTCTGTTAGAGGTTAAGTGGACCCCAGGGCCATAGTACGGCTGGAATGATTAGTCAATTAAAAAATCCAATGACTTCAACGGTACTTGAACCAGCAATCTTCAAATTCATTATCATATTAATATCGGACGCTATATATTCGTAAATAGTACGAGTTACTGACAGCGTTGTTACTTAGACTGGCAAGGGGATTGATTGGAAAAGCGAGCGGAGAGGAAGATACAGTCTCGAGAATTCTTCTTCCAAATGTCCCTTTCTCAACATTAAGACTTGGAGTCCGTAGGTTATCTCTAACCACATGCCAGTCACTGACCTGATCTTCTTTCTTGACGATGGTGTGACACAGCTGGACTTAGACCATAGCTCAAGTCCTTTTTGTGTAAAACCACAACGATAAGGAAATAGGTTCCTTCTTCGAACAGAGAGGATATGAGGAAATTTCTGCTGTGTTACGCCGCTAAGTAGAGGTAATCCCCAGGTACTCCTGTTTCGGGATCATGTAAAACGGCGTGTTTTGGTTTTGAGGAATTCTGTCTTCTGTGATATAGTTTCGTGTAGTGCGTTGAAAGTCAACGGACCTTCCGGAGTAATACATCGCCTCCGTATTCATGGTCGAAGAATATACCAGGCAAGAGATTAGCGCGAAGGAGGTGGCATTGGATTCTTGCTTGACTTACTCCTCTACCCGGAAGATGGAGGCGACATGTTCTCTCCGAAACGTCTGTTGACTTTCAAACGAACTACACGGCATTATATCCAGCATCCCTGAACTCTATTATTCTCCTATATTTTCGGCTTCATATCAAATCATATCGCATCACTTTCATATCGTTTCCTTATTTCCGTATTTCACAAGGAAAATTACGTTTATGACCAGAATATGTCCGTGAGTCCATTCAAGTAATAAATTCTGAAATGGATGTCGGAGACGTCGCAGATAGCTCAGTCGATATAGTAACCATGCTACGGGCTGGACGACCGGTGTTCGTTTCCCGGTAAGGGCAAGATACTTCTCTTTTCGTTACCGCATCCGGATCGGCTCTAAGGTTCAGCCAATTTCCCACCCAATGAGTACCATGGATTCCTTCCTCAGGTCGAAATGACCAGGGTGTGAAGCTGACTACTCATCTCCATCCAGTGTCGAGGTTAATGATGCGTAAAACTATACCTCCACTCCTCCATACGTCTTTATAACGTGACGCTTCATTACTTACAAGGGGTTTAATCTTTTTACTTTTCTTAATGATGGATTTTCATGAAACTTGGTAAACATGATTCAATTGGTTCAGAAGACTGTCCAAATGAGGGATTTTGTGAAAATGATAGCAAGGAATTTCTTGACCAGTAGAGCAACTATCAACATTTTAATGACAAACCTGCGCTATTAAGACATTATATGAATGGTATTTAGACATAGGAGGTTTAATCCCTCTTAACCCTACATTTCACCACCCCCATGGCGCGTCTTCCGTATTTATACCAGTTTTACATTGACCCAGACCTCGTTTTTACATGTGTCGGATCAATACAACTCCGAGATACCTTATGTATGCCAGACATAGACTCCTTTGCGTTATAACATGGCTGCCATCGACTTCATGCGAAGTTGAAATATGAACTGAAGTTTACTTTAAATTAAAAAGCCACTGTGACGCGGGACGGGCCGTTGTCGTAGCCATCATCATTTTCACCCATTCCAGTATTAGGATATTTAGACCTATTACTAATAATTACAAAACAGCAGCGATAGCTCAGTCGGTATATAGACGGGTTGCAAGCTGGATGGTAGGAGATTGATTCCCGGCAGGGTACGAGATTTTTCTCTACTCTACAGCATCCAGAAAGCCTCTTGGACTCACCCAGCATTATATCCCCTTGGTACCGAGGGCTCTTTCCCCGTAGTAAAGCGACTTGGGCGTGAAGCTAACCACTCGCTTCCATCTAGTGCCGATGTCGAGAAAAAGTGGATGTATATGTCCACTCCTCCATACACCTTTTTACCTTATTATTCAACGTTATAAAGTGTAGATAGCGACTGCCGCAAAGTAAATATACAAAAAGGAGACGTTAATTTGTATGATAAATGAATCGATAGTAGAGCGTTGCCACTTTTGTATCCGCAGGCTCAATCACGGAGCTGAGCCCTTCTGGAGAAGCCGCCAGTTGTGCAGCTACTCAAGAATTTGTTGAGAAGGAGAAGGATGGAGAAGATCAGTTGGACCGATTATGTGAGAAATGAAGAAGTGTTAATTAGAGTCAGTGAGCAGAGGAATATCCTACACGAAATAAGAAAACGGAAGGCTAATTGGATTGGTCATGTTTTACGCAGAAACTGCCTTCTAAAAGAAGTTATTGAAGGAAAGATAGATGGGCGGATAGAAGTGACAAGAAGACGAGGAAGAAGACGTAAGAAGATGCTGGATGACCTTGGGGACAGAAGAGGATACTGTCATTTGAAGGAGAAAGCTCTAGATCGCATTAAGTGGAGGAATTGTTTTGGAAGAGACTGTGGACCTGTCGTCTTGACAGATTACTGATGATGATGATTTATGGAACCCGACGGTTCATTACCGTGTTCACAAGAGCCCTGCAATGGCCACTATCCTGAGCCAGATCAATCCAATCCATACACTCCAATCCTATCTAAGATCCACTTGAATATTGTTCACCCATCTATGCCCTGTTCTCCCCAGTGGTTCTTTCCTTCTGGCTTTCCCACCAATATCCTATATGCATTCCTCTTCAGCCCCATTTGTGCTACATGCCCGGCCCACCTCATCTTCCTTGACATGATCATTCTAATTATACTTGGAGAAGAGTACAAGTTATGTAGCCCCTCATGATGCAGGTTTCTTCAGCCTCCCGTCACTTCATCCCTCTTCGGTCAAAATATTTTCCTCAACACCCTCAGTCTACTTGTATATCCGGGCTTACTCAAAAAATGTAGAGGTAGTGTTGGATCCTAATTTTTACTTTAAGCCTGAGAATCAAACGAGGGATAAATCATACAAAATCGTGAAGCATAAAAATAAAGTCAATGTTTGTATACTCCATCTACTTTATGAACGACGTCGCGTCATAGACAGTTACTGATGCGGGCCGTTATATCATCATTGGAAAGTTACTGCACCTACTTGCAACATACTTCAGGTATTCATACAGGACTTTATTTCCGTAAGGTTGGCTACACAAGTTATGACGTACCTTTCTTCATAGAGTAGATGGACTTAAACAGAGATTTCGCTCGGTTAACATTTACTGAAGCTCTGACAGCTGTTCCTAACAGCCTAACAGTCGATAAACATTCTAGAGCTAAGCAAACACTCTGATTCCAGTG